ATTTGGTGTCTTTTTAACCGACCTGTTCAAACGTCTTTTGAGAGATTTGTATTGAAAATCAGCAAACTTTTAGTTGGTGCTCCGTAAGTATATTATTATTATTACTATTTTCACTTTGGTTAAGTGATAAACTTATCTAAGACTAAGATTACATTAATTTTATATGAAAAAAAAAAAAAAAGAATGTAAGTTTTGCTGTTGTAAACAAAAAGCCAGAATTCGCGGGGCGAGTCTACCCATTCGTATTTAGTTTTAATAAAGCATAATAATATAATTTAGAACTTTGTTTATATTAAAATTAAGTCATTTTAAATGAATTTGAGTATATTATTTTAATTCTGCATTGATAAATTTATCATTAATAAGAAAATTTATAGGTTAAATATAAATGTAAATATAAAATATGTTTATTTTACCTATTTTTTCAATTTTTATATTACAAAATTAACTTTTTTTATTTAATGCAAGTTAAATAAATTATTATTTATAAATTATTATTACCTCCCAAAAGAATGGGAAAAGGATTTTTCATGATTCCCAATGTTTGAATTTCGATTTTGTTAATAATCTTTAATTATTATTATTTATTAATTATTTAATTGTAAATTTATATTAATTTTAATTTATTTTTATCAACAATAATCAGAAAAAAATGTTATTTTATAATGTTAATGATTATAAAAACAAAACTGTGATCAAAATGTGATAATCGATCAAATACTCAATTTGTGTTATTTTATGAATAAAAAAATGGAATATATAATAAAGTTATGAATTTTACTTCATAAATATCCTATATAGTAACTAAAATAACAATTTAATAGTAAAATTTGATTATTTACAATGTTAACATTCATTTTAGTAGAATGGGTAGACTCGCCCCATACGAGAGATTTGTCAGCAGTTCTATAAAAATATACAGTAACAGCGTAACTGTTAATATTTTCTAAAATCGATTTTACAGCTTTAAAAAGGGATAAATGACGATTCCGAAACACCTATTAAAAGCCTTTTTTCCCTAATATTTACAAAAGTTTGACCACTTGAAAGTTGACAAACTGAAAAAATGGGTAGACTCGCCCCGGTTTACGGTAGTATATAATTTGGTAAGTTAAAAATTTAAACAATTTGTAACTCATTTATGCTTATACTTATGTACACTTATGGGATTTAAATATATTTTTTTTTAGTTAGTTTGGAATATCACCAAAGATCTATCTTAAAAAAATTTTCAATTCCATGGCTATTAGTCTTAAAAGTAACTCTTTTAAATTTTTAACTGTGTAACATGTTATAGCAATATTTTTATGGATAGGGGAAAACTAATTTAATTTTTATTACTTTTGTTGTTGTGTTTTTAGCTTTACGATGAAGTAACTGAAAATTTTCGACATTAACAAATTATAAAAAAAATAAACTACTTTTGCGACAACAAGATAGGAAGTAAAATATTTACTTCTGTACAAAATATTTTAAATTATTATTAATTTTTGTGTGTGTTTTGTTTATACTAGTTTTTGTTTTATTGTTAAGGTTTCTCTTAAGTTTATAAGTTTTCTTAATAGTGTTTGTTTAGAAATATTTTTATTATTATTATTCTGTTTGTTTTCAACTTATTTTAAATATCTTAGTTTTCTTTTAATGCATTTCTAGTTGTTTACCTTTCTATTGCAATTTTATTTTAAATTAAGGAATTTTTTTATCTCCATTTTAATACATTTGAAATACATATTGCAAATATTTTATCAAAATGGCGAAAAAATTAATTTAGTTACTTAAAATTAGAGGGTTCTCACAAGAGGAAAGAAAATTGTTCATTTAAAGAAAAAGAAGAGGAATGGTTGCAAAAAAAATGTAAGTCTTATTTTACCATCTTTTAAATATTTACTAATATATTTGATAATCAGCTTCACAATTTCTCAGTACGATCTTTTATTATCATTAGATAACACTGAAGCATTTAATTATTAACGTAAGCATATATTTTTTTAATCAACTTATATTGGGTGTCACAAAAATTAAGAAAATATATTATGGTTTAATTCTTTTTTGAAGACCAAAGAATAGTTTCAAAATTAGTTGTTTTTTCTTATAACTGTCGTTGAACAGCAGACTCAACTCCGTAGCCTTGTTATTTTGAACCGAATTCAGAAGACAAGGGAACTCCAGGATCAAGTATTGGGAGAAATTTGCCTTCGTGGACTTTTTGATGGAACTAACTGGCATTTGCATTACATGGGGAGGAAAACCTTCCACAGTTAGCATGACAGCAAAGGGACCCATGATCCGTCTACCACTGAGGATATTTTATGTCAGCACTGTGGTCGGTGCAAGCTAGATGGGAGTTCATACCCAACTGCGGAGATTCAAACCCAGTTCACCTCAGTGGAAGGCTAACGCTCTATCCCCTGAGCCATCACGGCTCAAAATTAGTTATTAACTTACAATAAAATGCTCTTCTAACAGCAAAAATTTAAAGCAGTGTTTTGAATTGAGTAGTTTAAGGACATAAATGCCTGTGTAAGGGTCCCCTTCAAACAGAAAAATGTCACCTAATTTCCTTATTTATTCAATAACTAATTAATTTTTGTTTCCTTCCATTCAGAGAAATGACAGCATGTTGAATGTTGTGAGTATTTTTTAAAAATACTCACATTAAAATTTTGTAACTGAGTTCAATAAAATATGTTTTAACGAATAAAAATTATTCGAAAATAAACTGAGAAATTGCGTTCATATTGCTTTGTAGGTTAATATGCAGAAAAAAAAAAACAAAAAAAATTGTGCCTGAAAAACATTTCAGTTCAAATGCAGCTGAAAACATTGTTTTTTAGTATTTTTTCTATCAGAAGTGCCATATTATGGCAAGTTTTGTAACTTATATTGAAAAAATATATTGTTTCCTAATCAGCAGGGCCCTGTAAATAGCTGTATATTTTTCTACTTTTTTCATTTTTCAAATTGTCATTCATTCTTGAGACACTATCTTATTGCAATCTACAATGCTTGATAATGTATATTACAGATAAGATTCTTTAGAATAGATAAGTGTTCAAATTAACTTTGAATTATATTTTTTTGTTATTTTAGTTATTAGTCACCCCTGTGGTTATTTATCATGTTATAAAGAAATTTTTTTTAATCAATTCCACTGAAACAAAATTTTTTATAACTTATATTCCATTTAAATTTATAATTTTCAGTTTAGTCCATTAGCTTAAATACGACCTTGCTGTACATGCGACTTGCGAATTTTGAGTTCATTATTAGGATTGTTTTGTTAACTTATTTGGAACATGTAGTTCAAACAATTTTACATTTGTAAATCAGTTAAATCAAAAGCAGTTTACTTTTACAGTTAAAATATGTTCTGTAAACCTTTATTTTTATTTGTGTAAATTTTTTTTAATTTTAAAACTAAAAAAGAAAAAAGCTTAAATATGTATTCTCAAAAAATCAATTAGTACTTAATGTCAAGGTGCTGGATTGTAAATTCGTATCAAAATAAATAGTTTTTTAAATTGATCCAAAATTGAAGTTCGATTTCATTTATATTGAAGATTTTAAACAGCAAATAATGCTTAAATTTGTTACATAAACTAATAAATAAAATAATAATTTACTATTAGATCTTTGCAAAATAATTTGTTAAATATACATACATATTTCAATAACATCCCTTTAGTTTTATGTTAATTAAATCATACTCTAGTATTTTTAAAACTTATAAAATATGTAGTTTGTGTTCATAAATAATGAAGATGGACTTTCTGCCATGTGTAATCCAGATCAATTGATTTTGTTTCCTATTTTAAACTTATTTATTCTTCATTTGAAATATTTGTCTTCTGAGGGGGTATAGCATCTAAATTCTAATAAAATAATTTTAAAAACTTTAGTAATTGGATGATCTGTCACCAACTCTAAAGGAGTATGCTCAATTGTGCACTCTTACAGTAGTACAGTGAGCAAATCTGGGAAATATGATCCTAAAGCAGTCAAAAATATGGACCGCTTAACATTAATTTCACTTTTTGCATGTTTGCCATATCCTGTAAACTTTTGGGCACAATTGTAAAATTCATTTATCACAAGATAATTTCATTCAAAATATCACTTTTAGTAAATATTTAAATCAGGGTTGAAAAAAGTTTGAATTATAAGTATACCCATTTTTTATATCATTTCAAAGAAAGTAAATTTAACCTTACAAAATTTGAGCAAAATCAATCGAATAGTTCCTGAGTGTTTATTAATCGTATTTTAATTGCACGTCCCTTTTAAAATTCTGATATCTTAGGATCGATTCTGTTCAAATTTTGTATTTCGCCATGTAAAATTACATTCTTTATAATGACAGACAAAATTGTATACCTTCTTACAATTCAAACTTTTTTTGACTTATTAATAAAATAATATTTACTAAAACTAATTTGTCTTTGAATAAACAAATTTTATAATTCTATGCAAATTTTTTCGAGATATGACAAAATGTGCAAAAAGTAAAATTAAGAGGACCACTCACCCGAGACCATATTTCCTCAGATAGCAGTGTTTCGGGGGTCAGAAATCCAAATTCTTAGAAAAAAGTACATAGATTCTGAGCAAGTACCCCTCAAACCGTCATTAGATCGAAAGTTATTCAGGCTGTTGATTACTTTTTATTTTATGTCTTGTACACTCCATCGAATAGCACAAAGGATTTATTTTCAAGTATGCATAAATGACAAATTTTGTAAAATCAAAAAATTGCCATAATTTTTTGATTTTACAGCTGTGGAATGATGGAAAAACAAGAAGCAAAAAAAAAGACTAAGTTTATTTTTAGATAAAATGTACACTATACAAGCAAATTATTTTTCAAGACATTTAGCAGAAGAAAATAATGTCAAAGATTGGATGAAACAATGAAAAGTAAAATTATGGCAAAGGCTACAGCTTGCTGTGCAAAAATATTTAAATCAAAGTGGCACTTGGTTAAGATTTTTTTTTTTTTAATCCTTTTAAAAAACTAAAGCTCTTTCAATATATACACATAATAAAATAAGCACATTCCTCTATACTGCTAGATTTCAAACAAAACACATGATTAAAAAATGCACAGAACTCATCACCATGGTAGTCATAACTCAATAAAATTTTGTATTTAGAGGAAAGTTTATGAATTCAGTTTTCAAAATGTGATTTTGTTAGAGTTAAAACACATCACAAATCAAAACTACCTTGCTTATGTCACATTATGGAGGTAGCCATTTTGACTTTCATCAACTCTCCACATTCTGAAATCTAATTTATTATGAAATAAACTTGTGTCGGTGTGAAGGCTCTCCTTTAAAAATACGCTAACGTTATTCCTTCATACTAAAAGTATTTTGCAATCAAGTACATATTTCGATTAATAAAATTGTTAGTATTTTGAATTTAAACTGAGCACTTTATATTCATACAAAAAAAAAAAAAGTTTCATCTTACAATCATTCTTGATTCTCACTCAAATTTTTTACAATTTGCACATACAATTCACAACACTTCGTTAATGCAATTTGAAACATTAAAAGAAATTTTTCTTTAAAATCATGGATAATTTTACCAACTATGTACATTTAAATTTATATGATGAATCATGCACAAGCTTTCACTTATAATTTTTGCATTTAAAAAAAAGTTTGAAATAAACTTTAAAATGTTTGAAGACAAATCAAATGTCAACTAATGTTTATTTTTTTATTCATCTTAAAATAACGAACAGGGGTTCCCATCAACAGAGAGAAATAAATACTAAGAAAAATGATAATTATAGTGAGGTTATCTTATATCACAGAAATGTGTTATTAAAAAACTTATCATTTAACAGCTTCGTGAATAGCGGAAAAACTTATCTTGAAACATTTTCGGATCCTTTTTAATAATTTCAACTACAAAATTATGCATAAGCAATTTACTATATTAATTTTCAGAAAATGTATCACTTTTACATTCAACTGAACTTTAACAGCAGTGGCTACAAGCTTAACATTTGAAAATTAAAACATTTATCAATCCCATATTATTTGTTTAAAAATATTGAAAGCTTTATTGATTGTTTCATCCGTGGATCTAGCATGTAATTTAATTGCATATACAATATCGCATGACAATTACTAGGTTCTCTCAAAATAACCGATTATTTGAAAAAGTCTGCTGTTTTCTGCTTAGAAAACCAGAAAATTGGTTCTTGCTAAGTTTTTAAATTAATAAATGGCACTAACTAAAGTACTTGCTATAGTGCTTGTTAATTAAGACCTTAGCCAGATTCATCACAAACAAAGGTTATTTTAAAACTGTTCTGTTACAGTTTTCTCCATAGTTACCTTAATTTTTCCTAGTTAAACACCCAGCTTAATTATTTAAAAGATAAACATTTTGGGAACCACTGTCACTTTAAAAAATTTATTTTTAATGTTCCATTTAATAAGAGGGGAGGAAAAAAGGCAAATGGTTGGGAATAATATTATTTACACTATACCAAACCCAAGGGTTAGTTTACAATATTAGATATACATATATAAAATTACAAAAAAGATTATTTCATGCAGATTTAAAGAGCTACAGTTTATATTATACAACTATAGAAATTTCAAAATATAAATTAATTTCTGTTTGTGTTTCACTTGTCTGAGATCATATAAAAAAAAACCTTTCCTTGGTATAATATTAGATAAATTAAAACTACATTATGAAGAAGAAAATATTGTGCAGAGTGCACATTTTCCTTGATGTTAATGATTGCTAATTATAAGAAGTAATCAATCATTAGTAGTTAAAGCCACACCAGCGGCTCTTGCTGCTGAGTCAAGTTATATGTCCTTCTGAAAATCAATAGCTCAGTGGTGGTGCAAGTGGTTTTTCCCCTTTTTTTTCTGGCTAGAGAAAGGTTTACTGGCTGCTAGAGGATGGAGGATTGCCTGGTGACCCTGGCGTGCTGTCACTCCCACCATTCTGAGCCTGCTGAGCTTTCTTGATGTAGACATTTAGAAGTTTTTTCTGACAAAAAAAAAGAGAGGCTTGGATTAGATTTCAAAATTAAATTACACAACTGGTATACTATATTGTATAAGAACGTTTTATCATTAATCAAGCATAATTGTTTTATTTTTTCAAAGATTTAATTAAAGAGTAAAAATAATTACACAAATTATTAAAAAAAATTACATAAGAATAAATGAAAATGGCAAAATTAGATGTCCGAATGCAATACAGTGAAACCTCCTGTTATGGACACTCCTGCAAAACGGACGCCTCTCAATACGGACATATTTTTAATTCCCCGGGAATCTTCTATGAATAAACCATTATGTACATTCTCCGCAAAGCGGACACTCCCGTAACCGGACGCAGACAGTCAATTTGGTCCTGAAATGTTTTTTTATCTCTACAAACCGGACACTACTTTTTCTAAAGAAATTGCAAGCTAAAAAAATGCAACTTTTCACCATTTTTAAAGCATGCAAATAAAAAAATTTGCCTTATCCATAACTAAAAATATTGTTAAGCTATTTCACCACCGAAAAATCAATCTTTCTCCTGTCACCTTGCCTTATCTTTGTAAAGAAAGGAGAGAAAATGGTACTTCACTCCTGAAATAATTCTGACATTGGCATCTTTTCATCTGGACCACACAGGTTATGAGAACCCCTCAAGTTGAAATGACTTCTCTTAATGCTTCTTCCCTATTGAAAATTTCTTTAATTTTCTTATCAATTTGAAGACTGTATTTAACACAACTGGGGTAAAAAAAATAGAACAGAAGTATAATCTTTGAGGTGTTTATATAAATGAAACATTTATTCAGACACTTGATAGCTGATCAATTGTGAATAATCATCTCCATAGGTCCTCATGACTTACAGGTATGCATCACTTTTTTTCTGTGAATCATGGGAGGTTTATTTTCCAAGAAGGTATTAACCATGTTCCCTATCAAATGATAAGTAGGTGTAAGGGGATGTGAACCTAATAATTGAAACGGACTGAGGACAGTACGCTCCTATTTGGTATCATATGTCTAACTTGAGTATCTATGCTAATAGGAAAATTATATTTATTTATCTGTAGCTTCATCCAGAATTATGCATTTATATCAAACTTCTTTATCTTTCTTATTGTTTAAATAAATATTCTTGTAGATATTTACAGTATCCTTGTAGATATTATTTAATTATTTCTACATCTTTGAGAACATTCTAAAAACAATTTAGGGTTGTTAAATTTCGTTATTAGGGTACCCTTCCTGTAAATGGAAAAATTTTTTGGTCCCATGAATGTCCGCTTAAGGGAGGCTTCACTATATTAATTTGCTTCAAACAGCTCATGCACCAGGTTTCATATAGATAGGAAAACTAATATTTTTGTGTTTATTATACAAATTGCTGGAACCCAACTTTCAATCCATGTTTTTAAAGTTTGAATAGATTAGTTTATTTACACATTAGTGAATGTAAAATTTTCTACAGACTGGTTATTTATCAACATCTTTGGACAAACAAAATATTAAAAAATTACAAAGAAGCATATAAGAAGTAATACACAGAAGGATCTTGAATGCAGCAAAATATTTAAAATCTAATAATTGATCTATATCGCTTAAAACTCACATTACATAAAAAGCAAGGAGCTACTTTCTAAAGTGTGAAAATTTAAACTTCAGTAGTTACAGCTTTAAAAAATAAGAAAATTTAATGTATTTCGAAGGAGAAAGTGATTAAGAAAAGAATCCTAACCTTTTGACAGTTAAAAATTTGAAGAAAATATCATTGAAATGTCCATCGTATAGTATAAATAATAATTATCAAAATAACCAAATTCTTCAAACTACTCATAAACTACTATTAAATGACTCATAACTCATAAACCACTATTAAATGAAACCAAAATTATATTTACTCTCAACTGTTTTATTTTTAGGAAAAGGAGATAATTTTAAATAGGTATCACTTACCTTACAGCTATTTAAACTAGATAAATAAGGCTGCATCATAGTCTCCCCCACCTTGCAATGGATAGCTACCATTGAAAATACTGCAGCTTTTCTCACTGGACTTTCAATATGATCATAAGCCTAAGGAGAGGTAGAAAGATTTGTATATAAACCAACTGATTGTATGTCTTTATAATGATAGGATAACTAGTTCCAACTAATAGTACTATAAAGTAAATCATAAAATAGTAGTAAGAAATAACATTTGTGCTCTTTATTCATAAAAATATCAATTAATATAATAATCCTAATTGAAGATTAATTTGTATAATATAATTTTCTAATCATCACATTAGGAGGTCTTAGACATGAATCAGATTAAAAATTTTAAACTTTTGGTGTTGGTAAATAAGAATTATGAATGACTAAGGTAATATTTTTTTAAACCTTTAGTTAATGTTTGTAACAAAACCTTTTGCACAGAGCAATTATACTGAAAACAAAATAATTCTAGTCCTAGTAATTAATGTTTATACAGTACAGAACCCGTTATCCGGAAACCGGAAAACCAAAAAACCGGAACGAAATTTGATACATTTTCCAGCCATTTAAAAAAAAAAAAAAATTTTTTTTCCTCATAAGATTTTTGGATTTTTCTTTCTTTTTTGAAAGATATTTACCTTACCATCATTTTGGAAAATAACCATTAGTGTATTACTTAATCGTTTTTTCTTCTTTTTAAGATTATTTCCAAAAAAAAATTTCTTAGTTGGCTTTAACAATAAAAAAAAAAACGGCTTTTTGTAGCGATTCAGAAACCCAGAAAAATCAGTTATCCGGAATAGCGATGGTCCCGATCGTTCCGGATAATCGGTTCCCTACTGTATTTTTTTCTACCTTGTAAAATATAATATTATAAAAATAATTATAAGGAATTTTTGTATTGAAACGGCTAATAAAAATGTAAATTAAATAATAAAACCAGTTCCTGTTGATAAGATTTTAAAAAGTGGCTCCCTGCACAAGATATCTCAACTTTCTAAGTCTGTCATTGGTTTTATGATTGACAATTGAACATTTTCATAACATTATTTAAATAAACATTAAAACAAAACATTATATTACTAACCTTTAACAGTGCTGGCATAATATCTGGTAGAAGATTTGTAACAATTTTTGTTGGATGATGTTCAACAAGCTTCAAAATTGAAAAATAAATTCATATAAGTACATTAACAAAGAATATTTCAATATTGATTTCAAGGCATTCATAAGCAAGATTTAATTATTTTTTCTTTTGCAAAACATGAAGAGGTTATTTTGAGATTTGTAACTAAAAAAAACGACTGAGACTGGAAAACTATGCAGACAGATTGAAAGATAGTTAGTCTATGTAAGGAACTCTTCATCTGGACCAAGGCAGTGACTATGGTTATGGGGTATAAGAGATATAAAAAAATTCTAATAGATCGGTTAAAGCGTTGAAAATTTTTCCATAGATAACGTAAACTATTTCGATCTTGAGCAAAACTTTTATCACCTTTTAAAAATAAAGTTAATAAGTTTAAGCATTTCACTTTTACTAGAAAATTCAAACTGATAAAAAAAATTAACAAATTTAATTTTTTTCTTGTAATTTTAGAAATTAAAGCATTTAAAAATTAATGAACATTCATAATAAATAAAGTAAATAGTGAGAAACTAGCGTGAAATAAAAAACAACATAATTCTGTCAGAATATGTTCAATATATTTTTTCTTGTTATGTGTACTAAAAAAAAACAACCAATTGCATAAAAAGCGTCATTTTAAATCCATGCTCAATCCCTTAGCAATTTTGAAATTGTATATGTTAGACTAAGTTAATGATGAAAATAAAGAAAGAAACTGAATTCAGCTGACCAAAAGTATAAGAAAACAATCACTATAAAAATACTTTAGTTCCATGTATGACATGACAATGTAAAAAAGTGTTATATGAGTTAGAAACCATAAGTTTGTTCCTACTGTTAAAGTTGTTGCTTAAACAGACCTCCACAAATCAGTATATAAATGATTTGTTCCCAAAAATAGCAAGACAGTACGCTGCAAAATGTGCATAAACTTTAGATTTTTCCAAAAAGAGTAATTTAAATCCTGATACAATATATTTAACCTTAAGTTACTAACATCTGAAACTTAACTAAAAAAAAGTTTGGATTTGGTTTAGTAGAGAATTTAGTGACAATAGCTGGAAATACACAATATTGCACCAAAAACATACTTGAGACAACAAGTCAAATATTGGTGTAAAATTGTAGAGAAACAAAATCATTTAAGGACCATGGGATCTGTGTTTAATTCCTTAAAAATTTGATTTGGAAATGACAGTTATAACAGCTAACAAATGAAAATCTTTCAAAAAGAGCCAAAATAAAGGAAATTCTAAAACGGAAATAGAACTGGCATGATGAAGTATTTAAGAGTGCTCTGAGAGATAGCATGCGTTGCTCTCTCATGTGCCTCAGAAGAAAAAAGAGCAAGAGGAAGATCCAAGCTTACTTTACAAAGTATGCTATTAAATGAGTTATAGATCTTAGGGATTTCCAGATGGAAACAGATTTGTTGCTCACAACATTGTTAAGTGAAAGGATCTGCTAAAAGTCTTATCCTTACCTTAGTTAACATTTTGATGGCTGCCTGAGTCATATGCATTTGTTCAGAAAGTATTAGAGCATTTAATACTCTCACACACTGATCGGGTGGTAAATTAACAGCGGCAACAGCTGCACACATGTCTGCCATTTTGGTAACCTGTAAATGCTTTACATAAGAATTTATAAAAATAATAAACAGGTAAAATAATATCAGCACATTAGCAAACATCAGTTCTCATTTATCATCATAATAAACTGTGTTCAATCAGATTTAATTTTAGCTGTTTCAATTTGACAACATTAAACAAAAACAAGCATAGTTTAAGCTAATGTACATGGAAAAAAAAAAGAGAATGAAAGCACACTATTCTGAATTAGCACAGATAATAAATTCATTCATCACACATAGAATGGTAACGAACTATTAGAATTTTTTTTTTTTTAGTTTTTTAATAGTTTAGTTCTTCAATAAATTATAATAATATTTTAATTTTTAAAATAGCTGTTAATTGCTTACACATAACAATACCATGGCTAGGAAAAACAATACAATCCATACATATTAAGCAATAAAGAACATACTAATTGGCAAGAGGGTCAAATCTTTATTTTATAATTAAACTTTATTTTTAGAAATGTTTTTACAAGCTCGAAATCGCCTTTTCCACAAAGGAAAATATGAACAAATTTCATCATTAATTAGAACTAAAAAATTAATATCAAAAGCCAAACAAATAGATGTAATAGTGAACATAATCTAAAAAGAGAAAATCATTCAAAATGGAAGTTAAGAGTTAAATTCATATATACTTTTTTAATACTCACATCAGCTTCAGTAAACTTTTGAGCTTCCAGAATTCTTAACAAGGTAAGTTCTACGTAATCCTGGAAGTAGTCAGGTTTTGTTTTAATTAGCTCACACAAAGCATTCAAAGCCAATGTCTTCACCGGGAGCTAAAACAAGGCAGAACAATATTGTATTAAAAATCAGTTTCATTATTCGTTCAAAATTAAAAAGCAATCTAAACACAGTATATTCGTGATTATTAATGAGCAATTTATCTACAGTCTTTCTTCTTTTTTTAAAATTTATTTGCAGTGATAAACATGGCATTAATGCTAATCATGCAGTATGACTGCTAATTATGGCAATAAAACAAAAATTCTATCGTTAGAAACTGCTGTTGTTTCTAATGAAACTTGGATAAGCAAAGCTCATCAGCTATTCCTTTTGTGAATTAAACCAGAAAGGTACACCTTTCCTTAGACAAGAGAGCACAGCAATGGTGTAAGCACATCTTAGCTCAGAACCCCAGGGATAGATGTCATCACTACTCTTTTGTGAAACCACTTCCTCAATTTCGAACTTTATTAAATTGGATTTCAATTAGCTTAATTTGAAAAATGTAAGGTAAAAACTTCGGAAGTATTTATTTTTAATGCCTTTAAAATTGTAAAAAAAAAAGGGGGAATCACAGATCAAAATAGGAATATCATGCATGCCATTGCAATAAAATAAATAATGATAAATATATTGTAACAAGAACAGCTTAAAACATTGAAAAAGATAATATATACAAGATTAGATAACTTACAGATGTGTCAGCCACTGTTTGAATTACTTCCCGCAAGATTACACGGAAATCTTCATTAGATATTATGAAAGACTGTTCTCTTGTAAGACATATCAGTCGACCCAAAGCTTGAATTTTTTTCTCGTTCCTAGTTAATAAACATTTGTTTCACATTACTTGGCATATGCTAAACTAAATATGAATAATTCAACTAATAAATCAGTCTGCATTTCATTATCACAGTTTTAAATTGTTTGGGAGACCGTTCAGGATGCAGAAAAAAGTTTTCATAGTTAAGTACTAAACTATATCAATAATATTAATATACGAACTAATATATCATGGTAGGTACATTAGAAATTGCAGAAACTTGAAAAGTTAACATTTGGGAAACAATACTAGGGAAAAATTATATGTTAAATCATAACCTTCTGAAAATAATTTTTTATATTTTCAAGCCCTTTATATATCCTTTATTATGATACAATACTAAAATTAGCCTAAGATAATACATTTCACGATTTAAGTATTATTTCTATTTTAAAATTTATTCCTTTGCTGTTTTATGAACTTAATCATATTAAACTAAACTTAAGCATATTAAACTAAATTCATGTACAAAATGGAGGAAAATTATTGAAAAGAATAACTGTTATATAACATTTCATGTAACAGCTCTAATAACATTAAGGAAAAAAATACATGAATATTTAATTATTATTTCAATAACAATACAAACAAAGAAACAATGAAAATGTAACCTTAAGTTCAAAATTATTTGTGCAGAGACATCTTAAATTTTAACGCGCTTGCATATATATTTTGCTCGTTTTTCCCTATAAGTAATTTTTTTTTATCTAAAAAAAAAACAAACACACACACACACTTAAGTAAAACAAAATTAAAATAGTAATAAAGGAAAATAAAAATATTACTTACCTTGAACTTTGATTTAATTCATCAACTATAGAATAAATAGTTTTGTGATCTAAAAAAAATAAGAGATTTTGTTGCACATCATTATTGAATAATAAATTTTTTTTAGAAATTATTATGAAACCATTTTTTTTATTTGTTAAACTCCTCACTTTAAAAATTGGTGGGAATATATGCATTTATACTAATTTTGCAAAGAGAAGAAAATTGACAATTTTCATATAAAAATGAGAAATTTGTACTGACTTTAGAATAACTTTTAAGCACTCTTTTTTTAGTGATTCAATTAAAACTAAAGAGAACCTGCTAACAATTAGCTTTTCATCATATAAATCAATTCAGGGGAAAAAAGCAAAAATTTCAGAACTATTATAAGATATTACTGGAAGTATAAACAACATTGTTGCAACACTTTAGACATGAGATAAATATTGATCTCAGGGTTTAGCTATTTTAGTATTACAGTAAGACAGATTTTTTTAAAAAATGAAAAAGAGTGCTCAAAGGTTAATGGAATTCATATTTAGGTTAACTAAAGGAAACTCATACCATCGATTGCATTGTCTATTAAAGCTGGATCTCTTTCAAATAAGGCAGCTTCCTAGAAAGAAAAAAAAAGTTGTGTCAGACAAAAGTAAATGAAAAATATTATAAATTAAAATTATCAGATTCTTTTCCAAGTTAAAATGATCTTAAATGAAAATGAAAAGTGATGTCTAATGAAATCACCCAAAACAAAAAGCTTGGATCATCTAAAATAATTTGTATCTTTTGTTGTACAATAGCAAAAAAAAATTAAAATCTGTTGCAAAACATAGAAGTATATAATAAATATTGCCATAACTACTTAAATTTTTTTAAACCAAAATGAATTTTAACAGAAAAGATATCTTCATGAAATTACACAAAATAAAAAGTAGTTTTTTCTTTTGTTATTCATGAAATTTTTTAAAAAGTTGTATAATACTTCATCAAAAACAGTATCGAATTTAAAAGTTAATTTTTTTGCTCTTATACAACAAGAAAGACTGTAAAACATAAAAATTTATGAAAAACATTTCTTATTATTTGTTAGCCAACATGATTTTTATTAATAATGAAAAGAAATCTTTCATGAAATGATCCTTTTCTATTGTTACACAATAAGGAAATTTTTTACTATGTTGTAAAACACTAAAGTGCATGAAACAACTGCATTACTTAAATTTGTTAGAATTTTACACATAAAATTATCCTTAAAGAAATAGCTTCAAAAGAAAATTAACTTTTTTTGCTGTTACTTTTATTTTATGAATGGTTTTAAATTTTAATCATATATTTTTATCAAAATTACATGTTATTATCAAAACTATATTTTTAGACATAACCATACATAAATGATATTAAAGGCAGTGCCTTAAGCTAAAGCATGTATGGTACTTAAAGCTATATCAATTTGCTCATAAAATTTGAAAATTAAGGTTAGCAAAAAAAACTCAAGAGTTTTAAATTTTTTTTGTCCATAATAATGATAAAACTAATTAGACAACTCCTCAAAATGCAGAGTTAATTATTATGACTACTAGCAGCAATATTTTAAAAATGAAACTTGGACTAGTTAGCATTATTTGCACAGTCGTTGAACAAATGCCCGCATTTTTTAAATAATCATTATTTACAGCAATATAAGAAGTCATGAGCAGGGATGTGTTAAACTATCAATTTCTTTAATTCAAAAATTAAAATCATGAGCTGATTAATATAATTTAAATTTGTCAACAAGTGACAGGGAAGTAGCTTCAAAAGCAAACATCAAGGCTTTTTAAAAACACTAAATTTTGCAATCAAGTCATGGGGGCTCAGGGGGTAGAGCGCTTGTCTCTCCATTTGACTCGGATTTGAATCCAGCTATAGCTGAACAATAGAAATTCAGCTTCCGTATTCACAGTGTTAATTAAAAATATATCCTCAGTTGCAGACAAATTACAAGTTAGAATCTCCTTGCCATCAGGCTAACTGTGGGAGGTTTTCATGGCTTTCTTCTCCATGCAGTGCAAATACTGATTAGTTCCATCAAAAAGTCTTCTAAGAAAGCTAATTTGTTTTAATAATTGATCCAGCAGTTCACTTTGCTTCAAGGTAGAATTGCAAAGCTACAGTGTTTAACACAGATAGTCGTAAACTAAACCAACTGGCTGTTCAACTCAAATATAAAATTTTTGCAATTAATGAAGACACTAAACTTAATGTACAATTTTAGGATTTAACACAGACTCTAAAAAATTTCTTTGCAGGTTTTTGAATGTGCTCAAAAGATAAATATTTTAATAAAAAAATATTACTTACATTTCTAGGAAAATTTGTGCTACTGTAGTCAGTAGGTGATCTTTTAGTTGGGGAGGATTCAGCGCTAGAATTTAAGTCTAAACGTCCCACAAGTCCAACTATGTTGTCATATTGTCCCTGAAGGCTATTATGTCTTGAAGAGGGCGAATCCCGAATTATTTTATCATAAAAGTCATCAGACTTGTACTCTTCAATTTCAGACACTGTCTTTTTCCAAGAATTGCTGATTTCCTCAGGATTTAGATTTTCTGTATCATCATATTCAAATGATCTGTTCTGTGGTGTACCACCATGACTTCTCGGCCTGAAGTGGAAAAATTAGTTAACGTAACAAGATAATACTTCAGCACTAAATAACAATTGGTGTACAATAATTAAGTATAAATAACAAATTATAAAATATGAAGATTAGATTTCACATTTAGGAACACTAAATATTTGTTTTTGTTAATTAAAATAAAAATTAAAACCCAGTACAACAAAATATTACATTTAAGAAAAAATTAAAGCTGGATAGCGGGGCTTGAATTAAACCAGTATTCAGGACTATCACAGGTGTATAAACTTAAAGTATTTTCTCACTCAGGAAACTAGATTTGTGAAACAAAATAAAGTAACTAAGGGAAAGTTTTTATTGACTTATCATCAGTTTATGTGACAGTAGAAAACAGAAATATATCTAAAAGATATATACGAACAGTTAGACATTTAAAGAGAGAGAAAAATTTTAAAAAATTTTGATATTAAGAGCACAATTTTTGATATTAAGAGGAAACCATTTTGGTGCAGGGAAAAAAAAAATCCTGAAAACATTAATACAAATGATGTCCGCAATTATTTTTTATGTATATTTATTATTTATTAACAAAACAAAACTTACCAAGGTAGACCTGAATTTGGAGATTGAATATGAGACATAACAGGGCAAGGAGATGTTCTATTCCCTAACGATCGTGGTGTGTCAGGATTTGACCGTGGATATCGGGAATGGAGCAACTGGAAAGCACTGTCCTAAAATCATAGAAAAAGAAAATCATTCCCTCAAATAATTTTAAGATTTAAAAGAACAAAATATAGTAATCCTGTTGAAAACTAATTATTGTTTAACAAAGCAATAAATTATAAAACTGACTTTCTCAAAAAATATTAGACCAAATTACATTAGGGTTATTCTCCGGTTAAGCACGGAACATTTGTAGACCCTTGAAGCATATAAAAATAGTAAAATAATGGGGTTATTAATTTTTCTTACAATTCAATTCAAAACAAGACTGTTTCTTAAATATTCCATAGAAAACAAATCAAAAATTAAAGTTAAAATACTTGAAAAGGGATTTAATATGGTTGTTATGCACCAGACTCAGAAAAAAGATGATTTTTCCCTTGATTTCTATTTTCCTTAAACTCTGTGAATTTAGAACTTGTATATTGTCATTATATTTTTTTCTTAACTGATATATATTACTTCTATTCAATTATGCTACATGTTTTCCATATTCATTACTTTAAAAAAATTCTAAATTTATTTTATTTGTGTTATGCACGGGACATGCCTAATGTTATTAACTAATTAGTTAAATTGTATATGTATCTATTATCTGCTCAGCTATTTTTATTGAGATGAATAATTTCAAAATATTATCCAGTATGTAAGTCACAAAATAAAAAAAATAATTTAGTTTTAAATAATCAACTTTATAAGCTTAGTAGTAGGTAAATGAAAAAATCAAGACAAGACTAGAATTTTTTTTTAAAGCACACATGTACGAAATGACTTAAAAAGCCAAGGCAAAGTCAAAAAAGTTACATTCATTCTACTATGTGCAATAAAAGTAAATTTTACTGTATAAGAGTAATAAAAAATTTCATTTCTGAAATACTTAATTGAGAACTTTTTAACAGTTGATTGTATAATTTTATAAAAAGAGCACTGAATAACTCATTACAGTTAAAAAAGAAGGTAAGAGTGACAAATATTCATTAATAAACAGGGGTAAGAGTGAGACAAATATTCATTAATATTTGTCTCAATATTCATTATTATTTGTCTCACAGGCCGTGCAAAATACATAAACACTTGTAATTTTTAAAGTGAAAGAGATAGAAAAATAAACCAAGATCTCCATGGTTAAATGTTTATGAATAGTATATCTATTATGAATGTTTATGATTCTACAGATAAAAACAAAATAGATAAAAAGTTTTAGTGTACTATTAAAAAATAAAAACTAATCAGCATCTATTAATCAATTTTATTTCTTATATTTTTTTCAAAATTTGTAATCAGGACAAGTTTTTCTTAATCAAATAATTTTAAAAATTCTATGACTGTATTGTTGATTGGGATTGATCAGTTTTAAAATCAGATGAACCAATATTTGCGAACATTTGTTATTGCATTTGCTGAAAATAATATACAAGCATGTGACACTAATTTCTCACCAAAACAAAATAAAATTATATGGTTAAATTGTTAATTGAGAACAATATTCACAAAATGATAATTTCTAAAAAGTTTGAAACAATGAATCCTGCAAGTAAGGCAAATGTATGAACCACATATATAATTAGTTAGATGGCCTGTGAGTTGGAACAATAAACTTATCCAATTTATACTTGCAATTAATTACACAATAATTTAAAATGCAGTTGCATCTAAAATCCAAACTTTTCAATTATTATAAAATCCACATCTGTATTCATGAAGAATGGGATTATTCTGAAATTACACAGAAAGCCAAAAATCAGGACTAATAAGGACAAAATACTATTTTATCCAAAATATCAGGACAACTTATATCTCCTGACTTAATTTAGGGTAGATAAGAGCTAAATTTTTCAACAAAAAATAAGAACAGTTTAAGCACTAAAAAGATTTTAATCGTTTTTTTCTTCTTCTTTGCTTTAAAAAAAAATAATAAATAAAATAAATTATGTGCAGTAATAATTTTTTTCCTTCCTATTGTTTGTTCTTAATCTATATGCACAAAAGCAACAAAATTCAAAAGCATTTTTAATGACTCTACATTGCTTCTTACATAATTTAAAACAATCAACATGGTAAAAAAAAAACCTCTCATTTTGAAAAAGAGGAAATTTAGCACTTTTTAAAAATGCAACCTGTTAATTTGTAAAACAAAACTTGTGACTTTAAAAAAAAAAACTATGATTATCAGCATTTGTAACTATATTTTACTCAACTTTTTCAATAAATATTCACAAAGCAAAACCTTGTGTCAAACTACAATTCCCTTTGCCGCTGTGCCGAAGTAATGAAGTGGTAGAAGTAGAACTCTAATTTGATTTGTCATAGAACTCTAGTTCTAACAATTTTCACTAAATTAATAAATTCTTAGACTCTTATTAATTTTTAGAGCATGTACTTTCCTTCAGCAATAAGCTAATTTATTAAAAAGACTAAGCATCAATTTTGTACAATTGATACCATTAAACATTTTTTTCCCTTCAATATTGCTAATTGCAGGAATAAAAAGTGATTTAGTCATCAGTTTTTTACATCTTCAAAGCTGTTATGATAGAAAATATAACCCTTTCAAAAGAGATAGATTTGTCCATGCAAAATGAGCGAAGAATTGACAGCAAAGATTTAATGAAGAACACAAACTAAGTAGTAATTTTAAGTGTTGATGAATAACCATTAATAACAAGTAACACCTTTCTCTTCCTTTCAATATTATTCATTGCTGAAATGAATATGATTTGTCCAAAATAAGTTTATAACTCCATAATTATCTTACTTTGTATGCTTTTGGTACTTGATCGATTAAATTGGAATATTCAGCAGGGTTGAGACTAAAGAGAGCTGCCAGAACATCTTCACCAGCCTTTTAACGAAAGAGAAAAATATTATCAACAAAAAATATGCATAACTGTAACGATTTCTGAAAAGAAAAATCACTCCATAATCAATTCTTAATTTCATCACTAAAATAGGATCGAGATATTATAATGAAGGTAATAAAAATTTAAAATTATGCAAAACCAAATTACAACCTCATCGTTTTTCAAAGCAGAAAACTTGATTTCTCACATGTTATTTATTGAAGAAAATCTGCTTGGCAGGAATTTCTGTACAAATTCAGAAGCAGATTACTTACAGAGTTAAGAAGGTAGTGAATACTCTGAACCAGGGCATGAAATTTCAGTTCTAAATTCTTGCTCATCATTTTTAATATTTGTCTAGAGTGAATTATGAGGAAATAAATTTGAAGTACAATATTTCCCAAGATTCAACTTACTCATCAATTCTAAATATTAGGTCATCTAAGGTTACTCAAAATATTAGGTACTCTAAAAATGGTCACCAGCAAAAAATTTAAAATTATATAAATTCACTGAAACATTGGTCACATTTCATTAAAAAAAAAGGGAGCTGAAATGAATATTTAAATTAAAACAAGAAAAAGAAGGAGGAATTAGTTTTCACTTGAAGGGCTTGGGGTGGTATAATAACAAGTTACAGTTCCAAATTCTTTAAGAGCGAACTCTTTTGAAATGATTATGGTGAACAACTTTATAGCTTTCAGCATTATGCTGTTATCAAGCATCGGTTTCAGAATGCAAGTACTTATTTGGAAACAATAACAAAGAACGGGTTGACGTGAAAGAATAGTTTGATAAATTACTTTATGAAAAATTGTGACTTCATACCCAAAATCTTTCATTTTTTTTTTTTGTTCCTCTTTAACTTTATCGTGCATATTTTCTTTTTCCTTTATTTTTTTTCCTTACTCGATAAATTATTTCTATTACGTACTTTTAACTGTTTTCTTAAATATGCAGAAATTTGTATAACTCTTAACGAGCCGGTAACTGATTAATCTTGGCAGCTTGTCACATGTTAGTATAGATTTCTATTTCATATTGTAGTAGGTAAATCATATAAAGATAAATTAAATCAGGAAAAATAAAATTACAAACTTACTTTTCTCAGATCACTAGTTTTTGGGCCCACATTCCAAGAAATTACTTTCATGAAAGCAACTCTCACTTCAGAACTAGAGCTTGAGAACTTGCTTGGATCCATTTCATTAATTAAGGAGTGCAAATATTTCAATATCACCAGCTTGCACTGTAACAACAACAGTTTTTTTATTTATGAAATGCAATAAAAGAGTGAAAATAAATACTTAGAATAAATATTACAAATAAACTGAAAATAAATTAATTTACCTTGTTATTAGGGGTTTGAGTTTGATCATTCAAAAATTTCATAATGGCATTAAATTGGTTCTCTAGTGGAAAAGACTCCCTTAAATGAAAATGAGTTCAATTAGAGATATGACTCACATCAGTTTGAAATACAATATATAATGAATTAGCATCAATAACAGGAGAAATATATTGTTTGCATAATTTATAAAATATTTGTCTAGTTTTTAACATACGTGCTGAACAAAATATAAAATTACATTTATTAGAAAGCATATCTTTCTCAATAAATTAATATATTTTTTTAAATGGAAAATACAATAACATTTTTGAAGAACAGTGTTAAAGAGCGTGAACCCATATGTTTACACACATTATTTTTTAATAAATTATTGCAACGAAAATATTAAAATGATAAGATATGATTATAAAATGCAAAAACTTACTTTACTAATTCTAAAGTGTTTTGAACTTTTTTAAGCACTGAGTTCAGTAGGTCATTTCCCATTTTCAAGAAAAGTCTGGTCATTAAAATGTACAGCCAATTACTCAAATCATTTTTGTGAACTATAATAAGCTCATTCAAAGTATCAAGAAACAGTGAAAACACCTAAAAAAAAAATTGTGTTTTTCATTATTTTTTTCAAATAAATTGCTAAATTCAAGAATGCAGCATAAAATGTCTTACATAATTTTCCTCTATGACTTACTCATTAATTAAAAGTTAAAACTAACTTTTAAATAAACAGAAAAATCATTAAGTAGAGAAGAAAAATAATTAATGAAAAAATCTATAATATTAAACAGTAAAATGATTCTAAGTTGAGCATCTAAATGTATAACTTTTTTTATTTATTCTAAATGCTATAACAGGATACTCTTTAAGTATAAAAAGAACTTATACATAATTAAAATAGATAACACAATTAATTCGAATCGAGCATTCATAGATGTTAAAAACACTCTACAAATAAGGTTTTCCCAAGCAGTTTTTTTTTCTTCTTTTTAACGCTTTTAATTTTTTCCAAATTATCAAACTTAATAGTATATACACATATAACATACTTTTTTTTTACTTTGTTAAATGTTTTTTTAATACTTTTAATGAATTTATTTTGCTTAATATTTTTTACTTGATAAAAATTTTCTATTTAAAAAAAAAAAACCTATGAGCGATGAATATTGCATCATTAATATACAAACTGTAAAATTTTTAAAAACGTTGAAGAAGTTATTTATTCTAAAAAGGGCATATTGATCATATGTGCATTTGGTGCTTTGTAGTTTAACTTTATTAAAATTTTAAATTTATTTAAAAACAAGTAATATAATTAGAAAATATATTATTTCACCTATTTTATTTAGAAAAATAAGGCTTTTAAGAAGTTTTCACTCAACATAAGGAAGTATATATCTAGATACCACAATTTATAAGTTTCAGTACTGAACATAAAATTTAAGGACTATTTTTTAAGTTTTGAACACTAAAACAGTTTTACATGATTAAAAACTTCATTCTTTGCAAACATATATAAATAGGAAATAACACTTGACGTGTTTCAAACTCACAAAAACAGGTGCCCGTTTTCAAGATTTCCCAAGTGTGAATTGGAATACAAAAAGTGATAGGCAGCCAACAAAAAATGGGTAAATAAAGGTGAGTAACGAAGACTAGAAAAACCAAAACAGTTGAGAAGGGCAATTAAGATAAAATGCATTTTCATGAGTTATATTCTCTCTGTTTCACGTCTGGGCAAATCTTGATAATGGCAGCCTGTTTTTAAGTCTTGAAATATGTCTACCGTTATTTCCCATTTATATATTTTTGAGTTGAATGAAATTTCTAAGTAGTAATATCTTGCCGCTTCAGTTTCTTGGGATTATTAATTAATTAATTCAATAGTCAATTAAAGTCTTATATCATCAGAGCTTTCACAAAACTAATTTTGAGTAGGCTTGGTATATAATTACCTATCCCTCCAGATTACAACACTGCCTTACTTTGTGGCTAATATTAAAAGGGGGGAAATAATTTGTCAAATACCAGTGCCAATGCTTTTTAGCTAAGTTAAATTTGGTTTATTCTGGTTGCTTTTTCATCCGACAAAGCAGTTTTAATATTCATTTTTATTTCATTGTGAAACAATTAGTATTTTCAAATTATTTCATTGTGAAACAATTAGTATTTTCAAATTATTTCATTGGAAACAATTTTTCATGTTTTGTTTGCATTGTGTTAAAGTACACTAAAAAGGAAAAACTTATTTATAAAACAAAAATGAAACAGGATCTCAACAAGAGTACAACTTTAGTTGACAGTTGAATAAATACATACTTACAAATTGAGCTGGATAAAAATATATATAAGTAAAACAACACAGTAAAAGCACATGTAATATAATAAAGTTCATTTCCTGCCAAAAACAGATAGAATACAGACACAAGAAAATCTTACAGATTTAAAACTTTAATACATAAATAAAATCCAATTATTAAAAAACACATATTTCATTCGTAATTTTAAAAATCATGTAAAATGAAGATTGTGAAACATAATCTTAACTTACCAACATCTGCAAAAATATGAAAGCATTTATTCACATGCAAAAATTCGCAAACAGATTTAATAACTGAATTTGGGTGAGAAAAAAAATTCTGTTTATATACCTTGGTATGAGGGTCCATGAAGATTTTTGAGAAGATGTCTGTAACTTTCTTCAGCTCAATGTGAGATAGAATCCGACCTGAACGAAAGTAAGCCTGTAGAGCTTGAAGACCTTCTTTGCGATCAGACCAATGAATACTGTGTAGGTTGTGTATCACTTCATTGATGTCCTGAAATCCCAATCATTTATAAGTTTTTTTTTCTTCAAAAAACTTTTAAATGTACAATTTGTTTAAAAGTCTTTTAATATCGATGCGATATTTTTCAGGATTCCTACTCAATTCCAGAGAAATTCTTTTTAATATCGATGCCATATTCTTCGGGGTTCCCACTCAATTTCAGAGAAATTCTTTTTAATATCGATGCCATATTCTTCAGGGTTCCCACTCAATTTCAGAAAAAAGAATTCCCTGACTTTTCCAGACATATCAAGTAAATTTCAATGAAAATCCAGATCATAATTTTCTATACTATTTAATTTTTGAACACAAAACTTAGATCTTGTTTTATTTGTAATGAACAATACTAGATTTTGTGAGGAAAAAAATCATTGAATAAGGATGGAAACATGTCTGTTTGACTATGTGAAATTTTTATGACATATAATTGTAATAGAATTATTTAACTACAATCTCAATTACTGATAATTCTAAAAGCAGTTATTTTCCAGGTTTAATAAAGGAATTTTCCAGGTTATTATAAAAAAAAAATTTGTTACTTTCTTTTATTTTTGGAGTTAATATAAAATCCCCTGACAATTTCAGGTTTCCCGGTTCTCCCTGACCCGTGGGAGTCCTGATGTACATTTAAATTAAAGAAAAATGGTAAATTAATCTATAACTCAATTCTTTATCAAATGCTTCATGAAAAGACAGTAAATTTTTTAAAAACAGTATTCAATAGATGAAATGTAACTTTTCTTAATTTTGAGACTGATTACAACAAATTTTATGTTTAAGCCATAATAGACTGATTACACTAAATTCACTAATTATTACAAGTCATTAATTATTACCATAGTTTTTAACCTGAACAATTAAGCATTTAAAAAAAAATCACTTTACATTCCATTTGTAAGCTCATAAATTAAATTTGTGAGCAATATACAACAAAATAAAGTCAAAGGAAAATAAGTCCACTCACATCCACACTCCTTCCGAAAGAGCTGAATGAACGATCTGAGCATACACTAGATGTTTCACTTTCATCCGATTGATCATCGAATGCATTGTACCTCCTTCTGGCAGGTGTTCTCTGAAAAAACAAAAAGTAGTTAAGGTTACAGAGTGCATACCAATCCAGTTCATAGACATTTTTAATTACTTTCTCACTCATATACATTAGTGATCTCATAGTGGTTAAGGTAATCAGCTGTCATTTTTATACCTTAGTGATTTAATTTTCGGTGGTGGCTTGAAGCCCACTTTGTTTCAGACAGACATCAGATTGTTTGGAAAGTAAAAACAATTTGTACTCTATGCCTATAAGATTTCCATGACGTTGGTCTATAAAGTATGGGGCCTTTATAGCCATAAAACCCCTTCATCATCAACTGACTATTATAAATGAACAAACTTTTTATACTGATGTAAATATAGATTCTTTAAATCAGGAATATTCGTTTGCACAACACATGCACTACATTTCAGCAGGAGTATGATATTTTAAATTATTCCAAACTCCAGCATCAAAATGAAAGGAAACTTGTAAACTATTTTTGCAAAAGTTATACTTTCTAAAGATGAACTTAAGGAGATTCAGTGTGTAGTTTTCTTTTCTAATGGCACATACAGAATCTTTCATTCTTTGCCTCAGCTACCTGGCAGGCATTCATTGTGTAGTAAAAACATACAAGATATTGGCTTATGGACAGTAGAATTCGGACAACAAAACATTTAGGAACATTCTTAAAGCTACTTTCAATACATTAAAGAATTAAATTAGTAAAAGTATAGATTTTTTCAATTAAATTTTAAAAGCAATTGTCAATTATAAAGTTATTTGTTTACAAATTTTCAAAGATAATTGTAATTTCATCAAAGTATTATTCATTAATAAATTAACCTTAGAGTATAATTTCATTAATAATTTAATAAAGAACCTTTAAGCCTCACTAAACAGGAAATAAAATTTGAAAGTATATTAATAGTTATAAGAGTAGCATAAATAATTGCTATAATAAAACTAAGTTTATTCACAATACAATTTTAAAGTATTATATAATCACTAAAAATAAAACATACAACACAGTTCAAAATAAATTTTAAAAAGTAATTTTATACCAAAGCATCTGCTACAGCAACTTCCGCTTCCCTGCTTTGCTGAAGAGTGCGTTCTGCCATTAGTGGAACTACAGGAGCTATGAAATAAATTCATCCAGTACTTTATTACAATATAAAATATTACAAATAAAAGAATGGACATAAAAATTCTAACAGCCTATATGTTTTTAAATTTCTTTTTAATTAAAATTTAATAAGTCAATAAAATGGCTAAAAATGATTTTTCCCCCCTTAAATTAAGGTTATAAATGAAATTTATTACACAAATGTCTATGCAGAAAAGTACTTACATGTCAAAGAGGAATACTTTTCGCCAGCTCCTGTTAGCCTGGTACGTGATCCACTAAGACGTCTTTCATGTACTGAAAATGTATTAGTAAAAAATTCGTCATTTTGAAAGAAATTATTACATTTATTGCTTAAAAATCGCAAGTAAGTGAAAAGATTTTTCATTATATTCTTTAAGAATACAAAATGTTCAGCTCTACCTTGAATTGCTTATTATCATTGCCTAAAAAATTATGAATGAAGGCTAAGGCTTTTAACACATGTTTCATATGTATTTTATGACTATTAAAGACTGAGCATTTTGCAAATTAATTATTTGAAAATGCAACTCACTCTATGTTGCTGTTTAGAATATTTAAGTACATAGAAACACAGGAAACTATGGCAAAATACAGAGGATTTTTATTTTAAGAATTTTTTTTTCAAACATCATAATAACTGAAAACGTAATTTATGAGACCGGTCACTTAAAAAATTCCGATCATACACGGGGACATTGATTTTAAAAAGTAGCAAGTAAAAAGTACAAAACAAAAAAGTAACGATTTCAAAGTACATTTCGAGGAAATAAATTTAAAATAATCTTTAATTTCCTTAAAAAATGTAAGAAACAAAATATAAAATTTTGAATTTAAAATGTATTAAATTTTTATTTAAATGTATAAATTTTAAAATGTATGAAAATGATACATAATTCATTGACATATTGAGCAATGAAAATACCCAGACACAAAACAAAAAATCAAAATTCAATGTTTGCACACAAAAAAGTAATTTTAATTTGTCCTGATTTCATATAGAAATTCCAAATGTTTAGATATATTGGTAATTGCTAACAAGTAATTAATTAACTTGTTAGACAAATTCAATAAAACTTTTTTTAAAAAAAGTAAGTAAATAATGAAAAAATTGTATTAAGCCTGAAACTCCTTAAAATCCACTAAATTAAAAATAATTTTTCGTTATTTAGGTAAAAAAAAATTAACTTTAAAATTTAAAATGTTGACAATTTTTTAATTTGTGTGATGCTTTACAAATACAATGTAAAAGTAGAAATTTAAAAAAAAAAAAAATATTCATAAATTTAGTTACTCAATTAACTTTGGAGAAACTTAGCATTCCATGCAACACAGTTAGGTATTTTCCTATTGAAACACAAAATGTTTTTAATTTATTAATTTCACAATAGGCATCTCATTATTAATATCATCAATCAAAGTAACAAACATGCTAACAAATACATAATTAGATAATAAAATATTCTTATGATACTAAAGATATGTCAAGTTTATATGGGCAAACATCAATAAAACTAAATAACTAGTACTAAATGATAAAGTTACACATATAGAAAGTGGACACACCTATTAATTTGCTACAATATTCATACAAACGTTTTGTATTTATTTTACAGACGCTGATAACTTGAAAAATTTAATAAATAATTAACTTAACGATGAGAAAATATCCTTTGAAAATAAATCAAAAATTTTATATTTAAAAACTTTTTTAGAGAAATTTTTAATTCCATAGAACTTATCATCGGATTTAATATCTCTTGGCAAAAAATTTACATGAAAAAAACAGTTAATTAAAAAATATCGTCTAGTTTATTTATTTTTTAAAGTGACCTTTCCTATAATAAATGAAAAAGATAAAGTGATAAAAGATAACTGGATAAAATGACCTTGCTTCTTGCATACAAAACTGGCACGGGAAGTCAGGCAAGGTATCAGGATTCAATAAAAGTGAAAAATACTGAAATGGTTCGACACTGCCAATTTAACAGTATATTTCATGATATTAATGTACACAAAAGATACTGAAAACACTCCTAAGAAAGTACCGAATTCAGTAAAAGTACTAAAACAGGGTGCATAGCCAAATGCTTTAACAAAAAAAAGCACCTTTTAAGCACTTTTCAAGCACTCAAAAAATATTTTTAAGAACTTAGACGTGTCAACAATGATGAAATTAACATGAGAAATAAAAGTTTCTACCGCTATAGGAGAAAAAAAAAATGACAATGTTTAGTTGGTTTCGGTTCAATTCGAGAGGGCGGAAAATGAAGTCTGAAATTTCTCTTGCAAAATGCAGCAGAGTTGCACATGAGAGACAAAAATCCTTCCTACTGAATACAGCTCAGTATACCCAAATGCGGACCCGCAAGTATTTCGTCAAACAGAAAACGAATGGTGTTTTCATACACTATGGTCCGATGGTATAAATTAGGGTTGAATTAATTGTGAAAATGTTGAATAGGACAATGACTTTTTGCATAATTCGTGACAAAAATCAAGATGGTAAAGAAAAAATATCTGATTTTGGAAAAGGAAAAATTAAGCACTTTTTAAAAACACCCATTGAAAAAAAGCACCTTTAAGGGTTTTTAAAAAATGAAAATCGAAATTATGCACCTTTATGCACTTTTTAAAAACGCTACGCATCCTGTAAAAAATAAGATGTCTGGGAAGTTTATAACTGTTTCTCAAAATAACAATGGAAAAAAAACATAAAATTAAAAAGTTTAAAAACATTGATACTGATTAAGGGTATTACTAAATTTGCATTTTGAAATATTTTAACTCTCTTTTTGCCATTGTTTTAAATAATTTTTTTTTTTTTGAAATTATACTTACATTTTAAAAACAGTATTCATTACTTGCTTGGGAATTTACCTTTTAATTTTTGAGATATATAGATTTTGTTGTTATTTCACTAAAAGATATTTAAATTACTATTTCACTAAAAGATATTTAAATTACTATTTCACTAAAAGATATTCAAATTACTATTTCACTAAAAGATATTTAAATTATTATTAAATTAAAAACCCTAATCATTGTAGAACCTTAAAGCTTCTTTCGGCCCTATTGCCCACTTTAAAAAAAGTTTGTGTACCTCTAACATACAGTAAATAAAAAAGTGTATAAAACTTATCTATATGAATAAATCCCTTAAGAAATAATGAAACCTACAGATCAGTTTTTTCCACAAAATATTAATTTAAATTTAAAAAAATCTTAAAATCTATGGGGATATAAAAAAATGAAAATCTAATATTTGTTTATAATGTGTTTTTCTTAAAGCATTCATTACAAGTACATAATAGTACATGAATGATACTAACAACCAAAGCTACTCCTAGTTGGGCTGGCTTCCCTACTGGTAGCGATTGGTATTCCAGACTTATTTCTTGTTCTATTAGACTTTCCATCCAATGTGGAGTAAGTTGCATAACTTAACCTTGAAGAAGGAGAATCAGGTCTACTGCTTGCTAAAAAGTTAATTGGGAAAAGGGATAATTAAATTGTTAGTTTCACAATTCTATTTTCAATGCAATGCAAAAATGTTCATTGCAAATGCAAAAATGTTAATAATGGTTATTAAAGATAGAAGTAAAACAAACAAAAATAACTAAACATGATGTTAGTTTAATACTTTTTAAATAGAAAGAAAATGTTACATTTAGAGATAAATTAAGAACACCTTTTCTTTTTTAAGAGGAAGGATATATTTGTACCCTAATTTTGTTTTTGGTTGTCAATATTATTTTTTCGAAGGAAGGGAGCGGCGGATTTATGTAATTAATACTTTATAGAAGGCATCTTTCTCTTTTTATTTGATACTATTTTTTAATTGATTATAGTTTTTTTTATTTCATTTTATTTTTGTATTTGATAGAATTGAAAAGTATTTTTAAATTATTTCAATAGTAAATTTAAACATTTTTAAGATAATATATTCTTGTAAATCAAAAATCTTCGGAATGTAAAATATATTCTTAATATTACTGATAAAAAATTTTATTAAGAGATTCTAAGCGACCCAAAAATAGCCATCTTCGAAAAAACGAATTACACGTGGGTCAGTCAATCAGGGGTTAGACATGTAGTGAAAAGAAAAATAAAACATAAAAATTTATTCATAACTTTTAAATATTTGTACAAGAAATTTCCTATAAATCATAAATGACCCGAGTAAAGGTAAACATGATGAAATGTTATGTTTTGATTCTTTAATAAAATCAAATAAATGTTCTAATAGATTTACTATCTTATATAAAACAGTTTATTATAATGGACTATAATGCTTAGTCTGTATGAAGTCACGNTTTATTTCATTTTATTTTTGTATTTGATAGAATTGAAAAGTATTTTTAAATTATTTCAATAGTAAATTTAAACATTTTTAAGATAATATATTCTCGTAAATCAATAATCTTCGGAATGTAAAACATATTCTTAATATTACGGATAAAAAAATTTTATTAAGAGATTCTAAGCGACCCAAAAATAACCATCTTCGAAAAAACGAATTACACGTGGGTCAGCCAATCAGGTTAGACATGTAGTGAAAAGAAAAAGAAAATAATAAAATGTATTCATAAGTTTGAAATATTTGTACAAGAAATTCTCTATAAATCATACATGACCCGAGTAAAGGTAAACATGATGAAATATTATGTTTTGATTCTTTAATAAAATTAAATAAATGCTGTAATAAATTTACTATCTTATATAAAACAGTTTATTACAATGGATTATAATGGTTAGTCTGTATGAAGTCACTAAAATAAACAGCTATGTTTTAAAACAAAATACAAAATATATGTATATATATAAAGCACAAAGCTTAAATTAATAGATTGTTTAAGAAAAAATTAATAATTTTAAATTGTTATTTTCATGGAATTATTTCACACTTTGAATTCAGCATTTCAAACTATGCAACATACGAGGATAGGAATTTCATACTATAAATCAAACATTGGTTAATAACAAATTAATATTAAAAATCATTCTTGTGCATAAAAACAAACAAATAGAGGTTCTTTTCCTTCCTTCTTTTTTTACCCAAGTTATTAAACACCCAGTATTTATTACTGAAGAATTATCTTTTTGACATAAAAGACTTAATTTAAAGAAAAGTCTTTTAGTCTGAATTTAAACATATTCAACAATTCTTTAATTTTGAGATTAAATTCTGTAATTGTGGGATTAAATCTTAATATTTTTAAAACACTTATAATGTAAAACTGTATAAGGTTAAGAGGAAGAAAGACTAACGTTGTGATTGTGATCCTCTCGGTCTGGGTTTCATAACTCGTTCGGGAGAAGTGATAGCGTGAATAGAAGTGTCATTACGTCTGACAGCTGGAGTTCGAGCTATATAAAAATTCACAAAATTTAAATTACAGCAAGACGAGTAACACAATACAATAATAAAGTACAATAATTGAATAATAAATTAAGAAAGTATAAGAAAAGATATCAAGGAGATATTATGTATTACAATGGATGGATAAAAAAAGAGAAAATAATTAATCCTTTTATTGCTGCTATCTGCTCTGCTAAAGGGACATCACTGAATGGTGCACATTGAATGGTAAGAATTACATTTTATGTAATACAATTATATTTATATTTGTAACTATAAAATATAATATAGCTGCAATGCATTACATTACTTTATTTACATTTGTAGCTATAAAATATTTCTCCTCTAATTGCAACACACAGGGGAAATTCTTGTTTTGACTTACAAAAGATATTAAACCCATTCAAAATAAACTTTAAGTAGTATTAATCCAATAAAGATCAACGGGATATTGACCTAGAGATAAATGGAATAAAAGCCAGTGGCAGTTTGAAGCATATTGGGATGGTTACCAAATATTTTCAAGCTTACGCAAGCTAATTACAGTGCTTAAACACACAGCATTGTGTAGTTGTCTGCTAAATACGCTGTTCGTACATGTAGGGCATCACGTGGATGCCAGCTAAATGTGGTGCACATGAGGGAAAGGGAAAAATGCAATATTTAAGCTGTAGAAGATGTCAAATTCTCACACATAGTTTATATTTTAAAAAGCACACATGCAAAATCTAATCGCATGCAAAGTCAAAATAGAAATAGTTATAAATCAAAGTCACGAATAGTGCCATTTGGTAATTATGATAAAACGTAATTATAACACAACTTTGTAAAGGCATCTTGCATTCCTGATTTTACACTGAAAAAAGGGAGAAATTGATAACAGCTAAAAAGTACATTGCAGAAAGCAATAAATAAAAGAAATGATTCTTAATGATAATGAAGAAATATGTAGCAAATAAAACTTGAAGCTGGAGAAGACTGGTATTTATAAAACCTGACATAATATATTACAGTACAGAACCCGTTATCTGGAAATCAGAAAACTGGAACGAAATTCCATAAATTTTCCCGCCATTTTTATATATAAAAAAAAAAAAAATTTCCTCATAAGATTTTNTATTATTATTATAACAGAAGTAATTAGTTAATCTATGAAAATAAGCAAATAGATAAAATTTAAAAATTATTCTTTTTTAAATGAGTAGAAGATTGAGATAAGATTTGCCTAGATTGTCATGAGATAAGATTTGCCTAGATTGTCAAACTTTGTGAAAGCTTAACTCAATAAGAAAGCTAAAGGAATTTCTTTGTAAATAACATTCATTAAATACCCATCACTAACAACTGCAGAATAAATTAACTTCTTTAGGAATTGAACAAGTGCTCAACATAAAAATATCTCAGTAAACATTCGTCCACTTTAATTTCATTATAAATAAGGTAGAAAAAAATTTCATTCCACAAAAAAAAGATTTAAAAAAAAAAGATAGTATTTCATTTCAGTAAAAATAATTTCCAAGATGAGAAATATAAAAAGAGAAATTTGAATTTTAAAACAGCCATAATTTAATCAATAATTTCATTCAATAATAAAGAAAAAATACATGCAGTGGGATTGGAGATTTATAAATATCTAGCAAAATAAAAAGGATATAAAATGCTGATAAAATAAAACTAAAATAAAATTACATGCACATGAAAAAAAAAAACAACTTACGAAGAGAAGCCATAGAACTCTTAGCAAAATTAGCTTTGGAACGCCTAACAGCCGACAAATCAATAGCACTAGTTGACCTCAATGGTTTGGGTATACCTGCTACAAAAAAGGATAAGCAAAAACTAAAATTTTAAAACAAGTCTCATATTTATTCTATAGAAAGAGTGGCAGAATGCAACTATTGAGAAGAAGAAAAAAATTAAACTTTTATTCATAGAATAAACGAAATATTAAACTGAAAAATAATAAAATGCTCAATAATTGTTTTTTATGAGATTGAGTCAGTAATTTGAATTTGATATTTTCAGAAAGTATGTTTCTTATGATAGTTTTATTATTCAGTATTATTATTGAAGTCTTAATTTTTAAACGACAAATAATTATTAGCACAACAAATATTTGTCATACCTTCATTTTTTGGAGAATATGTCAGAATCTTCCAGAATAAATTTAAAATAAATATATCATTTTATCAAAGTTAGAAACTAATTAATTTTTAAAATTTATTTACTTCTTATTATTAACTAAATTTATAAAATAGTGCTCTTAGTTACTAAATTATTTGCATTAGAACTAAATTTTGTTTGTTTGTAGTTCGTTTGATTAATACAGTGCATAAAGAAAATGATATGTAAATGGTGACTGGTGCACGTTAAATTCGTCGAGTAACAAAGTCCTCCAAGTTCCCATAACAAATCATATAGCTGGGTGTACTGATCTAGGAGTTTCCTTGTATTCTGTATTGGATCAAAATTACAAGGCTACGAAGGTGAACATTAGTAGTCACAAGCCCAAAATTAGGTCAGCTGTTCAACAATGGTTATATATATATAAAAAATATAAATCTTTATTTCATTTTTATATTTAAATTAGGATATTTAAATCAAATAATACAGAGCACTTTCTGCCACCCCTTCAAAAATGCATGCATTTTAATGAAATCATGCACTTTGAAGTAAAAAAATAAACTAATTAAAAAATAAATGAACTACAAAGCTTAAAACTTTTAATGTTATGGGTACTAACATGGCCTATGAAACAAAGTTCAACTCAAAATTGAGAATATCCATATTACATGTTCAATAATAACAAGGAAAAAAAAAAAGTAAAATATAATCCATTGGGCAATGGTCATCTTAAAATACCTAGGTCAATTTTAACTAGGGTCTACACTGGATGAATAGCGTCTTTAAAATATTGAGTCAATCGCACAATTTTATCCATGGTCTATAGTGGCTGAGTAACGGCTATAAAATATCGGGACAATCTGACAATTTTATGTAGAGTTTATATTGGTTGAATAATAGCTATAACACATCGGTTGAGTTTGACGCTTTTATATCGAACCGATAGTAGCTGAATAACGGCTTTAAAATATTGAGTGAACTTACAAATCAGTATAGGGACGATATTGGGTTAAAAAATAGTGGGTGAATTTGACAATTTTATATAGGGTAAACATCGATTGAATAGTGACTATAAAATATTGGGCAAATGGAACATTTCAATATCGGTTCAATATTGGCAAAATAGTGGCCCTTTAAAATTTTGTTGAGCCAAGATTGGTGAATATTAGCCCAATGAGTTCCCAAGTAACTTTGCTGCTAGGGTTGTTTCATAAAATAAATTTCAAGAAACTTATTTTATTTCTATAAAAAAAATTGTCTAACAGCTATGGTTATCCTCTTTTGAGTAAGATCATTGAAAACTGAAAAAATTTAACATAACACAGTATAATTTTCATTTGTGTTTTGGTAGGATGCAATCAGTTAATCTTAAAGTTTTTTTAAGATCTATAAAATCATTGATAGGTTTATTTTTTGAAATGTATATTTGGGAAAAAGTGAATAGAAACTATTTAACTAAGAAGGAAGGTAAGTAGATCAAGAATGTTTGCACTTACAATTATCGATTTTAGAACTAGGTAAGTTTGAGATTCCGGTTCTTCGGCCCAGTGTTCCTGTGCGACCAAGGCTATAAAACAATAATGGTTACTCTAAGCATAAATAAACTCACAGCATATACAATATTACTAATAAAATAAAAAGTTAGCAGAGTTTTTGATACATGAAAGTTTTATCATGATTAGACATGATTTTAACTGCCCTTGTTTAAAAGCCATTTTTTTAATAGCATAACAAAAATTTTTCATTTTAAAATGGACATTTTTAGTATTAGGAAAAACATTAATTTTAAGATTTTTTGTTTTTAAAAAATAAAATAATAATATTGAAACTATTGTCAGATTACTTAAACTATAGTTGAATACGAAACATTTAATTTATTCTTTTCATGACGACAAAATATCTAATTAATCAAAATATTATAATTATCAAAATAATTATTAATTATCAAAATTTATTGATAATTATGATGCAGCTTCAGTACTGAATATTTTCAACTACGAATATCACATAAGGCGGTAAGGTTAGTTAAAATGGCATTCACCACGTAGCACAGGAAAAAATCAAGCTAAACAAATGCCGATGTGATGCAGGATAACCTATCAGAAGGCCTATGAGAAGACTGCTGGTCACTCTGAAACTCTAGGCGAGAAACCACAGTTCGAAAATTATGCTACCAAAAACAGTTAAGAATACAGAACCACATAGTTGATTATTGTTTGAAAAATAAAGGTTCTCTCAAACACAGATCAAAACTTGAAATCATGAAAAGTTCATAATACAGATGTTAGACAACTATAAAACTACAAGTACATACTAAAACAAAAATATTATCCCTCATAAAGAATTAAACAAAATTTTGAAAAAAAAAATTTGACAAGGAAAAATTGTCAGAAGTTTGTTTGAATAGAATAAACCTTTAATTCTCTAATTAAAACAAAATCTAGCTGGATTCACACTTTTACTAAGAAAATTTAATGCTTAGTCACTGAGTCTTGGAAGGACTTAAAATAAAACAAAACTATTAATCTTTTTAAACATATTTCTATAAATAATACTTACAACGAATGTTTGGAAAGTTTGCAAAGTTTCTAGACACAAATTGAGCTAGTTTTAAATTAAAATCACACAAATTACATTAAATGAAAATTTTAAAATGTTGTGAATGAATACAGTGTCACAAAGAAACAATGCTCAATATAACTAAGTACACTTTACTAATAATAACTAATGACAGTTTGATTGAAAATAGAAAGATTGTAGTTAAACCTAAGAATTAAAACCTAGATTAAAGAATAATTCCTTGAGGATAAAATTTAACAATATAAAATTCATATACACGCTGAAATTAATATTCTTTTTTCATGTTATGAAAAAATTAATATGTCTATCACAAAAAAAGAGCCAAATTCCCTTTTAGCTTGTGGTATTACAAATATGAAATAAAAAGCAGGAGATGTAACACACCTAAGATTTTCTACAGAACCAGCATGGTGATTGACGGTTGATCTGTAAGGTTTCCCACTCTGTGTTAAAGAACTACTACTAGATGAATTGCTCATAGTTACTTCATCATGTAGCATTCTCTGTTTACTATGGTCAAGGGAATTAAGAAGACAATCTGCTTGATCTCTGAAATGATCAGCAAAACTCCAGAATGCCCTAAAAAGTGGAGAAATGGACACTTTAATCATACTTATTTTAAAGCTTTATAGTTATTATGACTAAACAAAGTAGGACTTTACATACTGTGGCTTTTGCTTTTTAAACAAAATACAATAAAAACAGCCTATGCTTCTTAATACAACCGTTATAACAGCGACCTTCATACCATAATGCATTAATAAAGAGAGTGAAAGCTCTATAGTTCAGGGATGTGTCTGGGTGTATTAGAGTGTAAAAAAATGACAAATGCATTAAGTCCCATTAGCAAAAGTGTTCTGCTGCCCAGACCTCCCCTGACCACATTTTATCTTGTCTGGGACTTACCAGGCAGGACCTGGTTCAAACTCCCCTGTTGGTGCTAGACTTTCTTAGAGTGAACGAGCTCATGGGCCTAATCTAGCTCTGCTGGTCATGGGGATGAGAACAACAACAGTCCCATTAGCTGTTCCATACAAGGCTGTCTCATTAGCTGGTCAGTAGACATGGAAGCAATGTAATTTTAATTTTTATTAGAATGTCAGCATTGAACCCCCCATTTCAATATAGTGACTGATATTTAATTATTTAATTTAGAAAAAGATTTAAAGAAATTATTAAAAAGAAATTATCCAAAACTAATAGAACATCAGCAGAGTATAATAGTTTGATAATTATTTACACTCTTCTTAAACAAATTAGTATCATTTCTCATTTAATTTTGCTTCTTGGGATAAAGCCTTTTTTTTAACATAGTAAAAAAAAAACTACTATTTTAAAAATCCATAGTTATTTTTAAAATTAATTAAGCATCATAAATGTCAACAATAGTGTAGGGATTTTTTTACAGTTCCTTTAAAAACTACCTTTTTCCTATTAATTTAGTGTTTTAGTACATAATTATTTTTTTCTTTTTTTATTTTGCATCAATTAGTCACTATTACTAAAATTAAGCAATATTGTGATTTTTTATGGTTACAATAAAAGAATTAGTACCTATTCTCCATTGATATAGGGTTTTTAGTACCTAACTTTTCTTACTTCAATAAGAGTATATTTTTATATTTCCTTTTTTTTATTTCTAAAAAATTATCATAATTTAAAAAAGCGTAATAATATTTCAATAAGAAATAAAAATATGGTAAAAATTATCATTTACACTCTTGGCAGATATGAAAAGTGCACGTTTCCCAAACAGCATTGTTGCACTAGTGGCATATATATTTTGTCATTTAGCATTTCGTAGATCGACAAATGTACTAATTCTGTGCTTGTTCGTTGCACATTTAGTTGTGTCTTCTATGAGTTTTTCAATACTTAAAATATCTTCAATGTTTATTTTGATGGAACTAAATATTTCACTGTTAGGTGATAACAACAAATCTCAAAAGGCAACAAGTGTACAGCTGTGATTATCACCTTTGGAAAACACATTTGACTAGGTTTAAAGGTACTGTGAGCACAACGAAACATCTTGAACTCACAAAATTTGAAGGAGTCTGTAGTCTATTAGATGAATATTTAGCTGTCTAGGGTTAAAGTGATAACTAATAAAAAAAAATCTAATTGACGTGTTTAGTTAAACAATTCACTTTTCATTTTTGAATTTTTTTCACCATATTACATGATACCCTGGGTAGTAACGGGTCGAAAACCAAAACAGCAATATCAATAAAAGAGAGAAAAAAAGGGAATATATATTTATAGTTCAAAGTTATTGAAAAATCCCTTTATGTCAAGAAACTTTATAATGCAAAATAAATAATAATAGAAGAAAAAACAAATAACTTAATTAAAAACTGGAAAAATGTCATTAAAAATTTTTTTTACAAGATTAAATAACTTATATTCATATTCAGAAAACTTTCAATATACGAGAAGACATTTATTTAGTTAAAATTAATGTAGGTAAAAGAAAAGAATCCCATTTAGGTTTAGAAAATAAAATAATAATAAGATTTGTATTCACTCCAATATAAAACTTTCAATATTAAAACAAATTGCATACTTTCGAGAAAATGCTCGAGCTTCAGGATCTGCATCACTGATTCCTCTACGAATTGCATCGGCAAGGGTTTGAACATGTCTTTCCATGGGGTGAGTAGGCCAGGTCACTAGTAATTGATCCAAAAACTCAAAACAAGTTCTGTAAAATAAAATTAGAATGTAATTTAATTAACTGAACGTATATAAAAATAAACAACTGACATTATTAATTAAACTAAATTTGTTTATCTTATCTAAATCATTACATAACATGGTTAAAAATTCCAGAAAAATAGACATTGAGTTAAATAAAAAATACTAATGATAACTAAAAATAATCACAATTTCCGGTGATCAACCATTTTATTTCACTTCAAGCTTGATAGGATTCTAGAAAATGATGTACTGAACAAGATGGAATGAGAAACTTTAAAGTTCAACTTTTTGTTTGTAAGCAATACGTTTTTAAATCAGTCGAAAAATTATTAAGCTACAACTTATGTTGAGATTGCTGTAGATTTTAAGTTTAGTGTGTAAAAAAAACAAATTGTTTTTGTGTGAATGATAAGAAGTAGCAAATTTAGGAGCAAAATTTTTAAACTTGCTTATTAGTTCTTATGTTATTGCAATTTATATGGTCAAACTTTATAAATATATCAGTCTACTTTAGCTTACTTAACATAAATATTTTAAATGCTTCAGGAAATGTATTCAAAATAAAATACTTCACTTCAAATACACTATAAAAAATAACACAAGTGTCACATATTTATAACACTTGCATTTTAAATATTTCAGAGTAAGGAATAACACAGAGCAAAAGCAAATAAACAGAACTACAGTAGAACCCCAATTTAGGGGTTCTACTGTAGTTTTGTTTACTTGCTTTTGCTCTGTGATAATAATTCTTCCAGACCAGCCCTAAAAAATGCACAAAGCAGAAAAACATAAAATAAAGGTAAAAAATACACAAGACAAGACTCTTACAATATTAACTATTATTTTGTATACGTCGTTGAACAATTTTTGGGTTTACGACTACTAATGTTCAACTCCCTAGCCTTGTAATTTTGAACCAATCCAAAAGAGAAGGAAACTCATGGATCAGTACCCACAGATTTAACGTGCACCAGTCACCTTTTACTACACAGGTAGTCTTCAGTCCGCGAGGATCGAACCTATGACCTCTTGGACATGGGCTCAGTGCCCTACCAACCAGGCTATCCCGGCCCTCAGGATCGGATTATTCGAAAATTTAAAGGTAACTGGAAAAAAAATCCTCTTTCAAATTTTACAGTTCAAGCTCTAATATTTTCTTTACTTAAGGCCTTTTGCTTTGTGCACCACGCGGTTCTTCTGATGATTTTGCATCAGATAAGAAATCTCTTTTCCCAGACAAAAGGACAATAAAATTGAATAATAGAAAGAATGCCATAAAGTCTCACGTAAAAGAAAAAAACTCTGAGAAGTTTATGTGCGCTTTGTACTAAAAAAAAATTTTTTGGTCTATTAAAAAAACATAAAAAGCGAGATTTTCTTAAAAGCAGTATTGTAAAATCCAAGATATTTTAACAGTTTTGGTAAGGACAATTTCCATCAGCAGATAAGGACTTAACTGGTTTATATAAAAAAGAATGAAAAACCGGAGTTCCACTGATTCTAAAACAGATTTCTTAAGTCTTTATAGTAATGTCTTTTCTTCACTAATGACAGATAGCATAATTTAATTAAATAAAGCTTAATGGGTGAAACAATTTTTAAAAAAAAAATAAAATACATATTAGGCATTAGAGAATATTGTTTTAATAATAATTTACAAATATTAAAAACAACGATACTTACTTTCTAATATCTTTTGATTTTGATTGAAGATGAGAAGTTATGATGGGTATTAAACGGCTAACATGAGTATACTGAAAAATATGAAAACACGTATTAGAATGATAAAAAATTACTCAAAATTTAAAAGAGAGTTACAAACCCTAATGACTATAATATAGTTAGCATTTTTAAAATTATTAGAGGATTACAGAGAGAATAATACAACTAATGATAAAAAAAAAGACGAACACTGCATTACTAACCCTAATGATAAAACGTATGGCAACTATTCCAGCTGTGGACATTATCTTGGCACTATTAGGAATTAAATTAATTAAAGATGGCAAGAGAGCTTCAGAAAAATGATCCAATTTAGAGCCTATCTGCTGAGATAGAAATCTAAAAGAAACAAAGATGCAATTAAGATATAAAAATGTAATGTAATGTTAATGATTGATGTTCAATTTCGCATTTAAGTTTGACTTGAATTTTAAAAGCAATATCCAAATGAAACGTCACAGAACTGACTGTAAAATTACTATTATTATAGCATAAAATTAATATTATATAAAAAATATTCAAAATCTAACACTAGATCACTCATATTCCCACTGTAAAATAAATGCAAAATTCAAAATTTTCATTTTATAAAATACACAACTTGTAATAAAAATGAACATATTTTTAAAAATATTATTCCCATCAAAATTATTCTCAATGCAATTAAGAACAAATAATTTTTTTTAATAAGTCCTTTTTGCATTCAATAAACAAATTTAGTAGATAGAATTTCATGGAAAACACATTTCAAAGAACAAAAGTAATATTTTAACTAGTCCAGGGTGCTTTTCAGAACAGAAAATTAACATAAAGATGTGCTTAGTGCATTTGTATGAAATTTGTCCCTCGGTAAGAAGACTGGTTCGAGGCTCTCAATTTAAAGAAGTTAAGAAGCAGAATTATAAAACAATATAAACAAAGACTAGAAAAAAAGAAAAAACTAGCTACTAGGAGAAGAAATCAGAATTATAAGCAAATAATTCAGTAAAAATTATGAATGAATAAATATAACATGTATTAAAATATGTTGTTTATCATTAGTCAAATATAAAATAAGAACAATGATTCAAACCAGTTCATTTGGTAAAAAATCATTCATATTTTCCAATTAATAATAATAAAATAATTTTTTTTTGCATTATATTCAATACTTTATTGACAGTGTATCACAGACTTGGAATAAATATCTTAGTTTTTAAGGAACATTTAACCATTTGCTATCTAGTTAAAAACATTTAAAAACTAGTAAAAGTAGTAGTTAAAATAAGAGAGGTAATTTAAGAATTCAAAATAGCAATTACATGAGATATACAGAATTCTAAATTTCAAAAATTAGTCTTTAATAAATGATAAATTTATTAGCAAATTAAATTGTCAAATAAATTAATCACAAACACCTAATTTATGATTATAATTATTGGTATTTTCATTTTAGATGTTTAAAAATAAATTAAATGAATTTTTTTCATTTTTAAATACCTCATAGAAATTGTTTTTGATCACATCAAGTTTCTTACTTTATGATTCACATTTTACATTAACGAAACTGTGAAAGAAGATCATAAATTGTAACATAATAATAATCTTTATAAGTAACTTACGCTATGGAAATACATGCTTCTCTGACAACCTGAGATCTTAGGTCCTTCACACTAGTTTGGAAAGGGTGTTCAAGAAGTCTTAAATAGGGATAAAACTCATCATAAGTTTGACCACCAGCTACAATAACGCTTCTGAATCGTCTAGACTGTATAATAAAAATAAATAATTACACATAATGCTAAAACAAAAATAAAAAAATTTTTCTCCCCTATTTTTAGATGTTGATTTTTAAAAAACTTAAATACTTATATCAAATGTCTCTAAAACATACAATGAAAATAAAGAAAACAATGAAACACAAAATGAATTTTAAAAAATTTAAGTATTTTACTTAGATTCCTTGTTTAATGATTTTGTTTTATATGAGGTCTTAATTTGTTGTTGTTGTTTCCAATCCCAGCTGAGATAGCGGAGCTATACCAGATCCATGAGGCCGTGAGTCTTCAAAAAATCGAGAAAAAGGAGAGGTCTCTAAAGAACCTCTTCCATGGTGAAATCCAGGCAATCATGTAGATGGTGAGTACTAGTCTCGCTGGAGTTGCACTTTTTACAAGATGGAAAAAGTTTAATTTGTCCACTGAAAGTGAGGCTCTTAGTATGCACACTGAAAAATCTACAGGTAGCGGTTTGGTCGGCACGTGTACCCTGAAAGTAAAAGGCTCCTCCAGGACGCTTGTGGGGATACAAATAGTGATCCCATGGAACAAGTCAAGCTTTATTAACTTTAGATTTGCGGATAGAAAACAATTCAGAGTAAGTGAGGGCCGTGCTTGGAGAGGCAGGGAGGGAAGTAGCTTCTTTTGCCAACTGATCAGCATGTTCATTGCTAAAAAGACCCACGTGTGAGGGTATCCACTCTAATTTGCACTAATTAACATTTCTTAATTTGTTAACTCTATAAAATACATCTGCACTGTACATCACAACAATAAAAAAAGTAACAGAAATAAATTTCAGAAAATTTTATATAATAGCACATCAAGAATAGAATAGACTAATACAAATTTAATGGCATAATTAGTGGGAGGAATAATCACACAAATCAAACCAACAAATGAAAATAAGATGATGCGTCAAATAGAGGCTAATTACCATTTCTACTCTTTTCTCCCAGTCATTACTAGAGTCACCTAGAACATCTTTGATTTTACTCAATTCTGATTCCAATTCTTTAGCAGAGTATATCTGGAAGGAAAGTAAAATAAAAGATGAGATTAACAGTTCTTTTAAAACTTGTAAAACAAAAAAACATACTATAACATGTAGCATTTCAAAATAAATATAATTTGAAAGTTTTCAAGCAACAAAAACTATTATTAAAAAATGAACATAAATATGTTGATACAAATTAAATTAATCATTATGCTATACTTATCATTGATTTTTAAAATAATATATATTACTAAAACATTTAATTCCTGATATATAAATACAGTTAATACTAATAATAACAAATAACTCTAAAGCATACAAAGAAATGGATTTAAAATTATCAAAAATTCTTCATTCTTTAAGAGAATTTTTCACTTTTCTTAAAAATACATCACTGAAATTTTGCTCAATACAAGGAGCCCGAATTTCTAATTCAACAGTCAATAAGCTTTCCAAATTCTCATTTGACTGAGAATGTAACTGTGTGTGTCTTAGTAAAAACATTAAATACCCTCTTGCATAATGCATCATTCTCTTTTATGCTTTTCGTTTGTATTTTTTTTTTTAAGTTGAGAGAGGAATGTTCCGTCGTTTTTGCTCTCCTGTTTCTTTTTGTTTTTTTAAAAAGTTAAATGAGGATCTTTTATATATACATATATGCACACAAACATATATAATCAATTTTAGCAGGTTTTTTTAACATAAAATTAAGAGATTTTTGTGTTAAATCCAGAAACGTCAAAAATAATGAAAAGTCAGGAGATTCTGGCATAAATCTGGGAGGTTGGCAAGTTTGGACCATGCATAAGAAAGCGTTAGCACAATAGCAGCATTAATGCTTTAGATAAAGCATGATAATAAGCATTTTCAAGTTTCACCTTGCATTAATATATTAAGTGACAAAGTATAAAATGAAAGTATCTATTTTTAGTAAAGAATCAGAAGAAAAGCATTAATAGCGCTGATACTATCAAAACATAGTATATGTATATTTATACTAACAAAACAAAGTATCAATACCACTCTATAACATACTACTCTGTTACTAAGTTCAGATTTATGTTTTAGCTTATTATTAGTAGTAAAGTAATATAATATATTATAAATGATATTAATTTATTTTCAATACATATATTAGTAACTGGTAAGTAAAAAAATTTTTTAAACAAANTGTAAAACAAAAAACATACTATAACATGTAACATTTCAAAATAAAAAATATAAATTGAAGGTTTTCAAGCAAACAAATTAGGCAACAAAAACTAATTACCAGACTTGGTAACCTTACCAAAATAAAAAGTAGGAGATATTTTCCAAAGCCACCACAAAGTGTTGCAAATGGAAATTTAAAAAAAAAAATGAATATAAATATGTTGATACAAATTAAATTAATCATTATGCTATACTTATCATTGATTTTTAAAATAATATATATTGCTAAAACATTTAATTCTTGATATATAAATATAGTTAATACTAATAATAACAAATAACTCTAAAGAATACAAAGAAATGGATTTAAAATTATCAAAAATTCTTCATTCTTTAAGAGAGTTTAAAGTGCAACATTTCACTTTTCTTAAAAATACATCACTGAAATTTTGCTCAATACAAGGAGCCCTCATTTCTAATTTAACAGTCAATAAGCTTTCCAAATTATCATTTGATTGAGAATGTAACTGTGTGTGTCTTAGTAAAAACATTAAATACCCTCTTGCATAACACATCATTCTCTTTTATGCTTTTCTTTTGTATTTTTCTTAAGTTGAGAGATGAATGTTCTGTCTCTTTTGCTCTCTTAATGTTTTTTTTTTTTTTTTTTTAAAGTTAAATGAGGATCTTTTATACATACATATATGCACACAAACATATATACTAAATCAATTTTAGCAGGTTTTTTTAACATAAAAATTAAGAGATTTCTGTGTTAAATCCAGAAGCGTCAAAAATAATGAAAAGTCAGGAGATTCTGGCCTAAATCTGAGTGATTGTCAAGTTTGGACCATGCATAAGAAAGCGGTAGCAGACTAGCAGCATTAATGCTTTAGATAAAGCATGACAATAAGCATTTTCAAGTTTCACCTTGCATTAATATATTAAGTGACAAAGTATAAAATGAAAGTATCTATTTTTAGTAAAGAATCAGAAAAAAAGCATTAATAGCGCTGATACTATCAAAACATAGTACAGTATGGAACCGATTATCCGGAACGGTCGGGACCATCGCTATTCCGGATTACTGATTTTTCCGGTTTTCTGAATCGCTACAAAAAGCTGTTTTTTTATTGTTAAACCCAACTAAAAAAAAAAAAAAATTGGAAATAATCTTAAAAATTAGAAAAAACGATGAAGTAATACACTAATGATTATTTCCAAAATGATGGTAAGGTAAACATCTTTAAGAAAAGAAAGAAAAATCGTAAAATCTTATGAGGAAAAAAAAAATTTTTTTTTTTTAAAATGGTGAGAAAATTCATCGAATTTCGTTCCGGCTTTTTGGTTTTCCAGTTTTCTGATTTCCGGAAAACGGGTTCTGTACTGTATATGCATATTTATACTAACAAAACAAAGTATCAATACCAATCTATAACATACTACTCTGTTACTAAGTTCAGATTTATGTTTTAACCTATTATTATTGGTAGTAATACAATATATTATTACTGATATTAATTTATTTTTAATAAATATATTAGTAACTGGTCAGTAAAAAAATTTTTTAAACAAAGAATGAATAAAGAAATTGGAATTATTGTGATTTAAAGGTAGAGCAAACACAAGTAAATAAGCCTAGATTAAGGTAAGTCAATTCATAAAATTGAAAAACAAATTAAAAACAAAAGATTATAAACAAAAGCAAACATGAATAAATAGCTAAATGATAATACATTACCGATATTCTTGGAACATCTTCAAATGATTTTATAAACATTTCTTCATCAGCACCTCCAGCACCACTACCTATAAATACATTTAAAATGCTTTTGTATCAGTTTTCAAAGTATTTAAAAAATCAAAAAAGAAATATTCATTGATTTACACCGTTCAAATTTTTTTCAGAGTCTAGGAAGCATAATATGCAACTCTGAATATTATTTCTAACTTTTTGAACTATCCAGCTAGTTTACTATTGTAAAAACTTGTCATACAATACAACAAATGCCGTAATATTGGAGAAAATTTTGTAGAAAAATAAATGTGGTCTTTTTTCCATTAAAATAAGCACAATTTGAGTTATTTTTTATTTCAAAACAGTATTTATGTAAAGAAAAAAAACATTGATGTCAAAAAATTAAATTAAGTTTCTTCCTCTTACCCTTTTTAAATTTTGGATTATTAGTGTGTATCACTATACATTCACAAAATTAATAAGATTCATACTTAAAAATCAGGTGGAAAACTTAATCTATTAATGGGAAAAAGGTAAAAAAGGAGACAGATGAAAAAATGAAAATGTAAGTTATACTTTTCAAAATATAATATTTAAATAGCAACTGAAAAGTTTGGAATGCATCATAGTTAAATTTTGCCTGAAACTATTTTACAAAGTATGAATCAACCTCAAAAGCATATTAAAAATTGTGGAACTGACAACTATATTTGCTTTAAATTTTAGAGACATTTGTAATTTTTAACTTTCTAAGTCTTAACATAACATAGATCTTATTTTTAACTCAGAAGGTTGTAATAAATATCAAAATTTTTATGTTTGTTATACTCAAAACTAATCTTTAAAAAATTATTTATCTTCTATTTAAAACCACTATTGTATTGATTTATTGCTGATAATTATCAATGAAATGAAAAAATTTAAATTTTACTAGGCATCAATTTAAAAAAAATACAAACATAATATAAAACAGAATGCATTTTGATTTAATTATCACAACTCATGCCAGATATAAAATTGTTTTAGTAAATAATAATAAGTTGCACTTCCACCAAAAATTTTGTGAGCAAAAAATAAAAATATGAAGAAAAAAATAACATGCACCCATTTACTAAAATCCTATCCAAACTATTTACAAAAATCTCAAATTGTAATAAAAATAATAATAAAAAGAAAAAAGAAATTTTGATGTGAGAAACCACATTACCTAGTGAAAAGAAAACTAAATTCCAACACATAAAGAGATATAAAGTGCAAAAGAAAGAAATATATTAGAAAAACAAATCAATCAATAATTATTTACCAGAAATCCTGATAATAGGCCTCATTTCGTTTATCGAATACAAAGTCTTCATTCCTTTTGTATTAAGTAATCCAGAATTTTCTGAGTTTTGAAGAATGAAATGAGATTAATTTTTAATTTAAATAAAATTATTTGATGTTCTGTGAGCCAACAAAGGTATGCATTGGTTGTAAAGGAAGGTGGACGCAGTTTTTGAAAACATGAACGACTGTAGCACATTGAAAAAGCGTGCAGTAGGAACCATTTTTAGAAAGCAATGCTTTAACATTTAAAATCCATTTAAGGCCAATTAAGAAGCACATAAGTGATTTAAATTTTTATTACTATTTCAGGGATATTGCATAATACTAGTTGAAGTTTTCTTTATAAATAGAATCATTGCTTACAACTTCCATGGGGTAAAACCTTATTACTTGCTTTTAAATTTTGTTAAAAAGGTGTTTTTTATATATAAATTTAGCCTCCTCATGAATAATTTCTTTAAAAAGAAAACTAAAAATCAGTTTCAATATGGATTGAGACCAGCCAAATAATTTCTTCAATGTTTACTGTTATTTTGAAAAAGATTAAAACAATTAAATAAAAATAATAAACATAATTATTTAAATAGTTTAACAGAATTTTTTTTTAAAATTTAGTTAATTGTGAAAGTACTGTAGAAGATATGAAAGACTACTTAAAACTAACCAATAAAACTCCAAGTTTGTAAAGGGAAAATATTCATCATTCTTCCATCATCCTATCTACTGTATTTAAGTGTCTTTATTTATTTATATTTAAATGAAGGATTTGATGATTTTTTTTAATTGGGAGAAGAGGTTTTTTTTTCAAGAGGAGAGATTTTTTTTATTTATTTCATAAACTTTTAATAAATATTTTGTAATGATTTTTCTTGCACCTATGTAGCCTTAAACACTTGAACACAGAAAAATTAAGCCAACAATAGTTACCAATTATCGGGAATTATTTTAAACATTATTATCAACAATTTAATAACAATAATATCAACAATAAATAAAATAGATGAACTCGTTATAAACATACTTTTTTTAAGAAACTTTTTATACAGCCATATTTTAATGGAATTTCAAGTCATTAGTTTAAAAAAGGTATTTATTTTCTTTTTGGTTTTGAAAAAGCTATTATTATAATGACATGTTTATGAGGTATGCCATTCCAGGCGTAATAGCAATCTATTTAATTTATGATTGTTCATAACGCTTATTTTATTATATTATATTATTCATTCATTTCCCTGTTGAATAAAAAACTATTTTATTTCAAAGGATTATAAATTTTTTATCCTTTTGTTAGAATATCCGGTTTGGCTAATCATGTTATGATTAGTATATTAGTAGTAGTAGGCAACTATATTTAGAGTCTGATTTATTTATTTAATAGGTTTGTCGAATTGTCTAAAGTTAATTTTTTTCATTTAAGAGATTATGCAAGGAAAGGACAATGAAAAATATAGTGCAAAAAAATATTATACTAGGGCTTAAAGAAACTGAAGCATGCTCAAGAACTAATAAAAGCAGATAGTGCAAGCATAAAATAAAGACACACAAACAATAATGATGCACAGAAAAAGGCGCACAAGCAAGAGAAATGATTTAAGCTATGGGTAAGCTACCTGAAGACATAGGTTTTGATGTACTCTTCATACTTGGCTTCCTTTTGGGGGCTTGAGAAAAGCAAAAGATATTTTTCACATCACAAAAAGCAACATTGTAATTGAGTACCAGAAAAAATGGTACAAAGTAATGGCTTAATATATTGGATATTATACTGATAAGTATAATGAACAACGAGCTTATGTGCTTGCTGTTCTCAAAGAGAAATAAGCATATTATCACAATTTAATGGTTTAGAAGATGTTCAAGAAATAAGATCAAGACATTCTTATGCATTAGACTTTTAATTTTTTGTTCATATTTAATGCAGTAGGATTTAGTATTAGATTTCATTATAAAAATTTAATTTGAAGGGAAATTGTTGAAAGTTTAATACCAAATGTTAATTTTGGCACATTACCATTATAATCATTACCGTTTGAATATCTCAATGAGATCATTTGAAAGGTGTTTTAAAACAAGGAATCATAATATTCCAGAATTCTTAAAATGAGTTAAAGATCTTGGTATTTTTCAACAATATCTGATTCAGACGAAAATCTATGCCAATAGCACAAGTTTAAATCTATCATGTGTCTGCATGACTATTTGGTGTACCATTTTTTCTGGCAATTTTAGTGTAAAAGCATTAATACACATAAAGCTAAGAAAGAATGTTTCCAGTTAAATGCATCATAAAATGAACAATAATTAATTCTTTCATAAAGCAAAACAATTGAAAGGCTTAATGGAAAAACATGTTAACATATTTGAGATAATTAGCTTTCTTTTATATAAAAGCCCATCATAATAAAACCTCTTATGAATTAAAAGCTAAAACTTAAAAAGACTTAAACTTAGAAGTTCGAGTATTTGCAAAATGCAATTTAACATGTTTTTCCACTTAGTTTTTAACATTTAGCATCATTGAGTGTTATTCATTATTCAGCAAGAAATAAATTGCAATAAGTCATATTAATATGCAATGCGAGAAAATAAGCTTCTATAATTAACAAAAAGCAGAAATGATTCAGAAATATGAAGAAAAAAAATTCAAATTGCATTGGAAGATCTAGATAACAAATATACAGCTATGCATCCTAAACTCAAATAGAATAATTTATCTTCTTATAGCAGATTATTTCAAAGATCCACACTTAAAAGTTTCAGAGTTTAAAACCAATAGTAATTTTAAAATAAGTTCTCGATAATGTTCACCTTCTCCTGAAGCTAAATCAAGTCAAATCAATTAAGCTGAGTAATTTGGATAAGTACTGAATATTTTAGATAGGTTGCACTATCTCTTTTGAAAGTACCATAGAAAAAATTTAATTTGCTTTTGAGGACCGCAAGGAATTTAGTCTCCATATGTCACTTAATATTCCTCTCCCAATAATTACTTAATTATTCCTTTTTGCTAGAAGTAAGACATTAATTTGTCTTCAAAATAAAAGACAATTTGCATAAAATTTTGAATTAAAAAAACATTTTAAAACTAGTACTCTTTAGTTTTCTTTAATAAAAATAAACTACAAGATTTCAACTTTCTATGAGGAAAATTTTTTTTGTTANTCGCCAATAGCCCATTGTGCAGCTCTAGTGCGACGTAAATTAACAACAACAATAACAACAACATAAAATTTTGAATTAAAAAAAAAAACATTTTAAAACTAGTACTCTTTTGTTTTCTTTAATAAAAATAAACTACAAGATTTCAACTTTCTATGAGGAAAATTTTTTTTGTTACTATAAATAAATGCTTACATCTTTAACTTGTAAACTCAATCTTTAAAATACCTTTGCTTTCAATAAGTTTCAATTAAAGAAAATTTTCTTTAAAAAAATGTTAATTGTCAAAAGATTTAAAACTTTTGCACTGTATACTGAAGTTATTTCAAAAATAGCAAGTTGCATATACTTTTAAAAGTAATTTTGGGAGCACGGGTTGACCATTCAGAATAGCCTTAGGCTCAGGCCACAGGTTGCGCATCTCAAAATTTAAAGTTATCAAATTATTATTAGACTAAATCATATGTACAAATATTAGAAAACTAAGTTTATGCACAATTAAGAAGTTTATGTAGTAATTAGGTAAACAATAGATGCACTTGTAGTAGAAAGAATAAAACTAAACCGTTTATATGTTCCTCTGGTATCAAATCAGTTAAAAGTTAAATAAATTGCCCAAGGAGAATTATAAGATACTATCATGAAATTAATTTCTTAACTTTATTTATAGCACTAAAACTTTTTTTTAAAGTTCTTAATAATAATTTCCAATAAGTTGCAGAGTAAAAAATACTGTTTACAAATATAAATTTCTAATGTAGTGAAGGCACCAAATATGAACCATATACAGATTTTTTATGACATATATTTTTCTATGCAAATTTTTATAACATTTCTTAAAACTAGAATAGAAAATTAAAATAATTTCATTACCTTAGAAAGAAACTATATCTTTAAACAGTCCTCAAAATCTCTTAGACATGACCAATTATTTGGGTTTTTACTTCAATGATTAGAATCTAGTGTCTTTAGACTTATTAACCTAAGGACCATAATAACTCTTCCACTAAATCCCAAAAGCCTGAACCTAACCAGCAAAAACTTTATTTGGGGGGGGGATGGATGTTGCTTACGCAAGGATATTGACAAGTCTTTCTCAATAATTAAAATTCTCAAAATTCCTTCTAATATTTTAAACAAATAAAAATTCTTGACTCATGATTGATTTTAAGCCAGCAGAGTCAAAAATATGCAGGGAAATTTTGTCATGTTCCTCATTACTGATTCTCATTATTTATCTGTCAATCATGTTAACTTATTTGTTCACTAACTATATCACCATACCAAAATACCATATTTTTTGAAATGCTAAATAGTTTTCTATTGCCTAACTAACCAGCTATCTATAGCGCAATTCGTTAGAGTGTGTCATGTTAAGTAGTTTTTTAGGACAAATTAATTACAATTAAAATGCTTAATTTTATTATGCATATCAGTAATTGTCTTTCTTCTAATTATATTATAAGGTTTACTTACTTCTAAATATTAAAATACATGGGAGAGGGGGATCAGGAGCTTCGTATGTTAGCTCTTTTTTAAATGATATCAAAAGCTGGTTTTTGCTGTTATCTGTAGTTCTGAAAGCTGATTCAATCAACCATTTTATTTTTATCAAGGGATTGAAAATGCTGTTTTTATTTACAATTTTAATTTTTGACACCCGTGAAAGATTATTTGTAACATTAACTCTAATAAAAAAGTACACATAGTAAAAAAAAATTATCTTATTTATATTTATTTTAATGCAGGTTAAATATCACTGCAGTATAAATGATCTTACTTGTTGAATTAGGTAAGGATTTAGCTGAAGTAAAAACACCTCTTCTTACAGGAGGGGCACTACTTGCCCTTTTTACAGCATTCTTGTTTATGGTGGACGACTAAAGATAAGAAAAAATAATAATGAGAAACAATTAAAAAAATAATAAATGAAAATCATAAATTTTACCGGATATACCACAGTTAATGTAATATGATAAAGATTCATATAAAACAAAGTTTGTCATTGGGAATAAAATAGTATTACTAGAGTATGAATGATAGGTATAAATAAAACGGTAGATATGATAATATCTACGTAATAAATATGACGGTAGAAATAAAACCATTTCAATACTTTTGAGGAATTATGAATAACTTTTCAATTATTTTCGAAAAAAATGCATAGTTTTTTAAAATTTAAAAACCTAAAACAATCCATTTAGATAAAACTAAGACCAATTGTTAAAACTCAAATGGTCATTTAGAGGTTTTCATTTAAATTTTATTAAAAAAATTTATTTACATTCATTTATTTATGAACTGAAGAAAAAAAATTCCTTTTTAAAGATTATCAATTATAAAGATAATGAGTTTATTATCAATTGTGATATAGTCTAGAGGTGAACTACATTTGTAATAAAGTAGTAGTTGTAGTTTACAATCAAAACATGTAGTTTTTTTGTTTTGTTTTGAGGATTACTGTTTTACTATCATTATCAATTAAGCAATATACTCAAATAAATTTATCACAGTTAATTGGATCGATAAAATATTAGTGCATTGAGTTAAAATTCTGAGCTCAATGCTTGCTTATGCAGCACAAGTGATTATTAGTATTTTTTTTATCAGAATATGGAAACTGGAAAAATAATTTTAAATCAATAAAAAATTTAGACGAAGAAAGATAGCTAAAGATAATTTTAATAAACTATTTAATATAAGTGAATTATAATTATTTGGGGAACAAATATCCTCCAGATTGCACTAAATGAAAAGAAATTTTTAAAAAGAAATTTTGATTTTATAATTTTTAAGGCAGAGCATACTCACCCCATCTTTTTCACTGTTATCAGAGTGCTTAGCAACAGAAATGAAAGACAGAAAGATATAAAAAATAAATTAGGAAAGAGGTGAAATAGAATAATAGAAATATAAAAGAGAAAACAAGAATAAAGGAATAGACATTCGCTAAAATATTTTTAAGGTGAACAAAAAATTTGATAAAAGATTTTACATTAAAATAATAATTTTTGTAGCAAACACTCTTAAGTTTTTTTGGGGGAAAAATTGTTGGGGGTAAAATAAAGCTTTCTAGTGAATATTATTCAAATTATAAAGATTGTTCGATTATTTAGTTAACTTTAATAAACCTGACAGATACTGTTAGAGACCTGTATCATTAATTGGCAGTTTTTGTTGAAAGAATAAATTCAATTTTAAAACTGAAATGAAAAGTGTCACTTGATTGATAACTATTTTTTTTAAATTATTTCCTTACGATTTTCTTACAAAAAGTAAATATGAAGTAAAAGTCTTTAAAAGGATAAGTAAGTGCATGATTTTAAATAATTAAAATGTTTTATATAGAAAGCAATGACAATGGATGAATAAACTAAATAAAAAATAATATCTATAGTGACCCACTTGTTTATAGAAAATTGTGACCAATTTAAAACTCAGATTTTAGTGAGATAAAAAAAAGTTAAGTAAGAAGTTAAAATTTTCGATAAATTTTTAAAAGGATTTGCATTGAGAAAAGTCTGGATGACTTCAAATTAATATTCGAAAACATTAAATATTAATTTGGTTAATTACATAACTATTTAAACGTTTACAAGAAATTGCTATTTTCCTAAAATTATTTGTCTAAATTATTCAAAAATCTAAGAATTTTTTTTAAAATGATAAACAGTGTTTTTTTTTTTTTNTTTTTTTTTGCAAATTAATCGTTATTACATTTTTAAAATTTTTAAATATAGACTCAACTATAATACTTTTATATATATTTAAGTATACCAAACAGTATACCAAGTGATTTCTGAGTTCAAACAGATTTTTAAAAATATAAAAACATTGTTGTATTTCAATATTTATTTAATTTCTCAAAATTTATGTGCAATAAATTTACATATCTCACAAATAATTTTACTTTCCATGTATTTGTTCATGGCATTCAATTCAGTAACTTTTTTTTTTTTTTATTGGTTCATGACATTCAATTAGTTTTTTTTTTATTTATTTATTTTTTTTTTTAACTTATAGATTGAACTGCAACACATCTGCTTCAATTTATTTAATAACTTTTCTTTTAACAAAAAATTATCAATAGTACTGACTGATTTTTAAAAAAAATGGAACATAACATACCTGAGATTTAGAATCTGTTTCATCTTCAGTTCTAGAGCCTAAATAAAAGGAAAAAAAAAAAGTTAGTTAAATTCAAGAAAACAGAATTTAAACCAATAATGATATAATTGGTGTACTTAACTATAAAATAATTTCACAATAATCATAGCCCCCTAGAAAATTGCTAAGTTGTTATCACATTTTTGTCCTGATTGTCCCAGTAACAGAGGATTTTGAAAAATTATGATCATAACTTATAGCAAAAGTGCTGTTATTACTTATACTAAAGNAATGGAACACCTTTAATTTTTTACAAATATATTACTAAGTTTATTGATAAAAAAAATAGAACGCTAATGTTTAAATAAACATTACTACATTTGTCATTAACATGTCTAAATACATGTGCGGCCCTTTGTTAGCCAACCTGCCGTGCAAGTGGCCCTTCGCTCAATAAGGTTGTGCACCCCTAACTTATACTAAAGATTTGGTTATTTATTTTATTTATTTATTTTTGAAAGTCACTTATTTTAAAGCTAATAAGCATTTTGAGAGGACAAACAGTTCGTTTTCTTAATGAGCGAACATTTATTTATAAGTCAATTTCAATTAATAGATAACTTTGGGGGAAAAAATTAACATTTTCAAAATTGCTGTTGTGCTCACTAAATAGTTAACACAACTTTTATATACATACTTCAATTGAGTTATGTACACAATTACAATATATTTACACAATTTCTATAAAGGTCATCATCCCAAATCAGGTAATCTTTTTAAGAAATCAAGTGTAGATGTCCATTTTCACACTCATCGATTTAATTACAAATTTTATCTTAAAGACCTCAAAAAATAAAACAATAAATTTTTATTTTTCAGGTCCTAAGTCTAATAACAACGCATGTTTGTACTGATGATTTTCTACAGTTAAAAAAGAAAAATAAATATTCTCACAACTTTTTTAATTTTAAATAACCTTAACTAAAATCAGATATTTGAAGGATATAATCACGATTTTTATGTATTGAAAGAGTAATACACGATGTTTTTACACAAACCTTAACAAATTACAGTTTTTAAAATAAAATTCAAAGACCTTGACGAATTCGGGATATATTTTACAATGCAAGTATTTCACGACCTCATTAAGGGAATAGAAAGAAGAAGAAAAACGCAGTAAGATATGAATCTGAGAAAAACTTAAAAAGTAATATAAATAATTACAAGGCTACAGATAAAAGTTGTACAAAGAATCTAGTTTCAATCAGATGTATAGATACTTTCCTTTTTAATTCTTTAGCTGAATTAATAAAAGCTTGAGAAAGAGAATGAAAAACATTAATGGGAGCTATTATAAGAAGCAACCCATTTTGAAACAATAACAATTATCCTCCAATCTATCACGCTATCATTTAAGTTTTAATGAGAGTAAAACTAGAATATTTTAAGTAAATTCAGGTTTAATTGGCCTACTTCGAAGCATTTTCCCATAAAGAGTCGGCACCTGACAATTTTTAATTAAAGATATATCTTCTATACATCTATNTAATGAGAGTAAAACTAGAATATTTTAAGTAAATTCAGGTTTAATTGGCCTACTTCGAAGCATTTTCCCATAAAGAGTCGGCACCTGACAATTTTTAATTAAAGATATATTTAGAATAAAACATGTTTTGATGGAAAAAAATTAAGCAAATTTTTAATGCGTACAGATAATTAAACCGTTTGAAATAATAAAAGTCAAAATTAAAAGGAAAAAAAAAGTTCATAACATAAAATATCTGCAAAAACTAATAAAACTCAGAACATTTATAGCTTTATTCAACTTTTTCATTATCAAAAAGATTCTGTAAAACAATAATTAAAACGGAATGTCTCTTAGAAATGAATTTAAACGGAAATATTATTAAACTTTATTTTGTGTAAAAACTTGAATAACCTTTAAAAGTTTTATATAATGTTTATGTTACAGATCGAAATTTATTAATTTTTTAGGCTGTTAGTTGGTATCAAAATATATTTGTATTATTTAATTAATATTAACGGAAAATGCAGCATTATCATAAGAAATGTGCAATAATCACTCAAAGAGTTCATCTAAATTTAGATTACAGAATTTCAAATCACCATCCAGGGGTCTGTCCAGGCAGAATTTACTACCGTTTAGCGGTACCTTCACAAATTCAATTTCAGGTAAAACGGTAGTTTCACAAATTCAATTTTAGGAAAAACGGCAGTTTCACAAAATACTTTTTCTTAAAATTTTATTTTTGTATCCCTTAAGAAACGATAAATCTATATTTTTACATGTTTTTGTATTGATTTTTTAAGATAATTTGTAATTTTTCACAAATTATGTCTGAATTTTCACAAAATAGGTACCTTTCAGAAAAACCTAGACAAACCCCTGCCATCATATTGAGTCAGCCTCCAACAGTGGTCTTAAGTCATATTTTATGAACGAACACCTGAGTAAAAAGTGTTGCCAAACTAGGTGAAAAACAATATGTCATAGTCATAAAAATTCTAATTAATCAGTTTCTGTTTTAAACAGAGTAATTATCGTTTTCAAGATGAAATGCTAAGAACACACACGAAGGGAGTAATTAACAAAACTTATGAATTCTATCTGATAAGGAAAGAACAATTACACAGTCAAAACACGGATACAATCAAGGATTCTTTTTCATTCCTAACTGCATTCATCGGACAACTATGAAACATAAAAATCTGGAAGCACAATTAATTATTTTTACTTTTTACACTAGAGACTCTTGTATATGATTTATATGGCGTTAATTGAGCGCGAAGCTAGGGAAATTAAGGCTTAAATCTTTCCGCCAATTCGGTTACAGTAGTTGAAAGCGATATTTATGCTTTGTCTCATTTATTTTGACAATGAGTGCACTTCCTTACGAAGAAATTGCGCACAGTAAAATGGTAGTTAATTTATTTAAATTGTGTGTAGGATAAGCAAAAATAAAAATTAACTCACGAAACAAAGTTTAAGAAATTTCAAACAAATAAATACGTAAATAAACAAAAATATAAAATACAAAATATTAATTCCCTGTTCATAATCCTGTCACCTAATGCAAACATAGAGCCAAACACATTCAAACTGTTAACACTAAAAACTTGATAAAAAGGTACTTTTATATTTTGCACAATACAAATGGATTAAAAGACTCTTAATTACAAAAAGAATTTATAAAAAGCCTGAGGGAGTGTGAGAAACACCTTTTGTGTAACTAATGAATGAACAGAACGAACAGAAAGAATTATTTTTGTTTGAAGCTTGATTTATTTGACATCCCGTTCAAAAAATTTTTTATTTGTATTTTTTAATCTTGACTAATTCTCTCTTAAATATGTGATTTAAAATAGCATTGCAAAATTACTATTAAAAGTGTAATATTATTTTGAACATTATTAACCCCGTTTATTATCATACCACCTTGAGATAACATTAACATATTTCACTGTAAAAAAAATATTTGAGAAGAGAGAAAGAAACGCGAAGAAATTGTAAGTGAATGGGAATTGGAAAAAACGAAACGGAAACTAGAAGTGACATAAGAGAAAGTCACAGGAAACGCTCTATTTAATGAAGTGCGTTGAAGTGAATCGTACTAAAGTTACATTCACGCCTTTAGAAACCTTGTATTTAATTTCAAGTAATGGGAACATTCCATGCTATAGCGAAAATGATAGGTAGGGAAAGTGATAATATATCAAATCAAATCAAAGGACTTCCGATTCTGTTACAGTAGTAAAAAATAAAAATAGTAATTATAATTTTAAAAAAATATTATTTTTTTATCCATCCTCGTATTGATTTTAATCGTTTAAAACGATTAACGAGATAAAACGATTTATTATCAACAATGTTTGATTAATATCAATATTTAACATATTGTTTTTAAAAAAAAAAAATAATGCACAAGTTTAGTTTAACGGTAATGTTTTTTCCTTCCGATGTGAGCAATCATGTGAGCTCTATAAAAATTAAAAACGTGTCCTTTGTAATTTATTTTGTCAAAATAAGTTTATAACTGATAGCTTGCGCCCTCTAGCTTTGAAAAAAGTTAATGTTGATACGTAATAAAATTTTAAAAACATTTATGTATTTATTTGTAGAACTGGATTATTATTCATATTATAAATGAAATTTAGTGTTAAATGTGGTTTATATATTACAAAAAAACTAGATACTAAACGTGATCTAGTTCTGGAATAATAAAAGAAAGAATTATTGGATTATATTTTATTTATTCATTATTATTTTTTTTTTTTTTTTTTTGAGCAGATAAAGCTCAATTACAAATCAATACAACTTATAATAAGCAAGATAATATAATTTTCTTTTATAACTGATGTTGTAAGAATACGAAGTTAAATAAAAATGCATAGTTCAGAAATGAATCAAAATCCCGGAGTTCTTAATTATTAATATAATTGCTTTGTATTTTAGCCATACAAAATAATCTACAACTAATACAATACACTTACGAGTACACGATTTCAGTGAATAAAAATTTACAGCATTCATCGAAACAACCGTTTAAATACAATTTACTTATTTTTTGCTGACAATAATAAAGGTGCACAATACGATTAAAAATTTTGGGTATTAGGAGGTTAAATAATAAAAAAAAGGTCCCTCTTTTTTCTATTTTCTTCAAAATAAAAAATAAAATCAGAACTTTAAAAAATTTTATGAAAAAAAGAGACAGTCGTGTCGAATTTAAGTGATCTGTGATATGGCTGTAACTGATATGCAGGAAATATGCAAAGAAATCATTCTTCAATTGAAGAGAAGAAAAAACACCCTATCTTAAGAACTGATGACAGAGTATGGAAAGAAAAGCGATTAAAGTCTCACAAATGGATTAGTCAGCTAATTCCTTAAATAAATCAGGACTAGCTTGCAGCAATGGCTTTACGAACTAAACGTTCTTTTAAAAATCGATTTCATCGTTAGAGGTGATTAAATATTTTTTCAGGAATAGCTTCGATTTGTTGCCAACGAAATAGCTGCTTTGTTAATTCCAATTAC